GCTCCTGCAGTTTCCAGACTTTGTCTTCTGCGAGTCAGCCGCAGCGCATCGCAGCGCATCATGTGAACCAGCTCTCCTGAACACCCAGCGCTGCACCAAGTACAAGTCGGCGGATGCCCTTCTGCGCGAGATGCGCCGAGAACCACATGTCGTCCTGGCTTAAGCATCGGAACTGTGCTTGCACTTGGCTGTCTATGGCTGTCTGATCTGTGAACCTGGTAGCGGCACTGCTGACAGTCGCTATTGTAGAAGTGCACAGTGTCATCGAAGAAACCACGCTGATACACCACTCCTGCAGCAAGACACGAGATTCCGACCATACCATTTGGCCACAACGGTGCAAACAGCCGTGAAGTGAATCAGAGGGCATTTCCACCCCGCCACTTCAGGTCTTCATTTGGGTTAGCGGGTAGGTGCTGCTGGATTTGGACAGTTATCGTTCTGCCGATCGGCGTAGCTTCGTCTTGCAGTCTTGGGTTTGTTCTATGACTGCTACATACTGCTAGTGCTACTCCTGTTGCGCTGCCGCTGATGTCTTGCTGCTGCTGCCACTGCCGTTGTTGCTGCTGCTGCCACTACGACGACGACTCCTACTCCTGCTTGTTTCTACTACTGCTACTACTGCTACTACTGCCACTACTGCTCCCTGTACTACTGCTGCTACTACTACTACTACCACTACTACTGCTACCACTACTACTACAACTACTACTACTACTACTACTACTACTACTACTACTACTACTAGTACTACTGCGACTACTACTGCTACTACTACTACTACTACTACTACTACTACTCCTGCTGCTACTACTGCTACTACCGCTACTGCTACTGCTACTGCTGCTACTGCTAGCTAGCTAGTAGCTAGTAGCTGGCAGCTACTAGCAAACAGCTACCAGCTACTAGCTTCTAGCTATTGGCTTCTGGCTACTGGCTACTACCTACCTTTAATTGCTTCGAGCCACTACTACCTGCTACGACCTGCTACTAGCTGCGACTAGCCGCGACAACTGCTACTACTAGTACTACTACTACTACTACTACTACTACTACTACTACTACTACTACTACTACTACTACTACTACTACTGCTACTGCTACTGCTACTGCTAGCTACTGCTACTGCTACTGCTACTGCTACTGCTACTGCTACTGCTACTGCTACTGCTACTGCTACTGCTACTGCTACTGCTACTGCTACTGCTACTGCTACTGCTACTGCTACTGCTACTGCTACTGCTACTGCTACTGCTGCTGCTGCTGCTGCTGCTGCTGCTGCTGCTGCTGCTGCTGCTGCTGCTGCTGCTACTGCGACTGCGACTGCGACTGCGACTGCGACTGCGACTGCGACTGCTACTGCTACTGCTACTGCTACTGCTGCTGCTACTATTACCACGTCTACGACGGCGACGACTACTGCCACTACTCTACTACTACTACTACAACTACTACTACTACTACTACTACACCTACAGTACCTACCTACCTACCTACCACCACCACGACGACACTACTACTGCTACTCTCTTCTCCTCGGCAGACTCGGCACAACCACCTCCCTACCTACCCACCCACTCACCCCCCACCCACCCCCATCTACCGACCTACCTACCTACGTACTTTCCACAGACGCACGCATACACAAGCTCACATTTTTACATACCTGCATGAATCCACACAACATACTTTCAAACGTACATACCTTCGTACATGCTTACAAACACACGTAGACAAAAATCCACACACACATACATGCATGCATACGTGCCTGCATACACACGTGCACACATATATATATACACACACAGACAGAAATAGACACAGACAGACAGACGGACGCCACGCACAGGTGCACATACAGACTCACATACATACGCGTCGCGTGGCCGACGACGACGATGACGACGACCGCAACCGCCATTGCTGCTGCAGAAAGAAGCTTTCTTCTCGGAGAGGAGGGTGGGGGGAATGTTGTTGTTGGGAGGGGGCGGGGAGAGAACAAGAAGACTCGGGGGTACTGTCGTTGTTGGGGAGGACGGAGGGACAAGAACAACAAGTTGTTTGCCGAGGGAGGCGGAGGACAACAACCCCCCACCCCAGCCCGCTATCAGCTACATCTTTTTCGTGTCTTTGCATCCTTCCTTCCTGTCTTTCTTCCCAGCTTCCTTCCGATCCTTGCTTCCTTCCTCCTCCTGTTCCTTCCTTTTGTCGGATCCTTCCTTTCTTTCCGCCTGCCTTCAATTGGGGACGGACGAGCGTTGTCACACGGCAAGGAGCATCGCCGTCAGACCTGTTGCTTGGCGACTTGCAACACTCGCCCCCTCGACTCAGAAAGCTGCAAAGGTGTCTGCATGAGCACGCTTTTGGATAACATGCTGGCGGATGCTGGTGGTCAGTGCATAAGTACCTTCTTTGGCCGAGAGGCCTAGGTAGCTGACCAGCACTGGCCCTGCAGCAAAGCCCTGATCCTGCAAATAGCGAGGCCGGTCGCCACCTCCAAGGGAGCAGCTCTTTCTGAATCCGCAATGGGTGCACTCTGTCACTCTCTCCCGTGCCTTGCTCCTGCATGGTGTGGAGCTCTTGGGACTCCAGCAGCCCTGGCACTGAGAGGAAGCCTTGGGCGGCTACGGCGCTGCCGGGATTTCCAAGAGCCGCCCGCATCAGCTGCTCGACGAGCTCAGGTCCTCCCAGGGCCCAGGGCTCACCGACTCCCTGAGAGGTGCTTGGAACACCACGCACGCGCGCGCGCGTGCACGGACACGGCCCGCTGTTAGCCCAGACACCGTAGATATGGTCGTCATCCACGACGACGAGGAAGGTCCAGGGATCTTCTTCCAAGCGGAGGCCATTCAAGAGGTGGGTTCCGGGACCCAGGTCAACACAGCGAACGAGGTGCAAGGTCGGCGTGGCATCCACCTTTGCTTGCATCCATTCCGGGATGCGATATGTTTCCCCGGTCCGGTTGTAAATGTAGGGAATGCTCATGTAGATCTCCTCAGCTGCATACGTCATTCAGGCCCAGGCTACTGGAGCATGCTGAACATGCTGAAGCCGAGGGTCGGTTGGCTGCCAGCTTTGTCCAAGGATCGCATCAATGACAGGCTCCATGTGATCAATACGGCGAGGAATGCTCGTCATCAGAACCACGACTCCTACAGCATACGCAGGATGAACTTGGCGTTGTTCTACTACACCGCAGCTAAGCAATGCCCACAAGCTCTTGCAACATGCTGGTTTCTGATTGCTGTGCGGGGCTCTGTACTTCTGTATCAATTGCTGAAGGTCACCGGTGTGCAGCGTGCGGGGTCTCATGTGAGGAATCCAGTTGTGCAGATCTGGCCGCGTCACCTTCGGTTGGGGTTGCCAAGCAGACACCAATGATCACCAATTCAGCTACGTACCCCAAGGGCAGTGAAAACGGACTCGCACTGCCGAGCATCCATGGCTCCAGCATCGCGCAGCCAAAGCTGACTCGCGAGCAGAGAAAGATAGCTCAGATGGCTTACAGTGCAAGGCCATCCCCAGCACATGCCGACGCTGCCCGCGCTGCGGCGCAAGGCGCTGGCCCACAAGAGAAAGGCTCATCACGCACCGCAAGAGGAAACCCCTGCAGCTCTGCTGAAAATCTGGTTCTGCAGCAGGTCTCATATTAATCGCCAGTCGTGCACAGAGGATGGCTTGACAGTCATATGCAGTTTATACACCGAGAAACATGACATGGAAGCTTGGGCAGTTAATCTGCAGCAAATCCTCCTGTATTCGGCTTCAAGTGCTTGGCTTCCAGAGCTGGGGAGCTGGGCGCCGAAGCATTTTCCGGCTGGAGGCACCATTCCAGCCTTTCCAGCTCACAGAGCAACTGGCCGATGACCATGTCATCTCAAAAGTTTCTGCGGGATCACTGTAGGACAAGCTACAGTGACGAAGACGTCGTATCAAAACCAGCCAACACGGAGTCCTCAAAGACTGCTCTATGTTGCGAATTCGTTCGCAGTCTTACCTTCCTTCGGGGCATGACGAAGTTCCGTGTTGAAAAGTTTGGACGGCGACTCAGCTGAAGGCAGATTAAGAAGTCCAACTACGGGCAACTCATCATGGTCTCCGAGTCTTCCCATAGGCTTCGCTGACATAAACCAGGACCTAATCAAATTATTTCTGCCTTCGGCCGTAATCCCCATGCTTGCGGGCTGCCTGATTAGGTAAGGCAGCACTGCAGAGCGGTTACCACATGCGCGCGCTTCCCGGACAGACGTGAGCGACCTCTCTGGGTCATGCCATCCACGACTCTCAGCATGCGGTTGCGGCATGTCGCAGCTTTTCATAGCTGTCCACTGGCGTCTTTCCGACCCCCCTGGTGAGCATTGCAGACAATCCAGCGGTCTCCCTATCACCATCTCAGCTTCTCGGCTCAGATGCCGGTACTAAAAGTCGGGACGTTGACGGCCGAGCCGCCGAGCCGTGACTGGATCGATGGCATCAGTGACAGTGTCTATGACAACTCTGCACTACGGTCCTTAGGAAAGTATCAAGCTTGGCCTCTGTGGCTTGCGATTCTCAGACACAGGACCATGTCAAAGGCTAGATGCTGTTTATGAACCTTAAGCATTAAGCTTCTCTTGAGCGGTCTGCCGCGGTGTCCCTCACCTTGCTGAATAGACAGGCATGCGCCTTTATGCAAACGACCTCAGCCAAAGACACAGGCTGTCGTCAATTTGAAAAGCCGATCTCTGTCGACACACTTCATGTTAGCGCTTGCACGATGGGAACTAATTGCATCGTCTGCCGTCAGGATCTGCTTGTGCTTGGCGTCAGCGAGCCGTGGGCCAGCTTCACACATCGATTAAATCTCCAAGCGCCAGTCCAGTCAGCGGTGGCAGGTCAAGCAGTGTCTAAACGGCGGACAAACTATAGACTATAGTCACTCTGCACATCGGCCATTGATAGCATAAGTCCAACATAACTCATTAGCATGTTGCATTCCGTCTCCTTGGAGCTGTGGATTAGACCTGCAGGCCGCACTCGTTGCGATTGGCCACTGCACCACAGTCATAGTCGGTCTCCTCGGCGATGGCTTATCGGTCGAGATTTTTTGTCACATCCCACCTATGCCGCTTGCCGTCAAAGCAGCTGCCACGATATCGCTGGCTAATCGGAGCCGGCGTCGGAGGTTCTTCTCTTCGGGCTTATCGGGACCTCACGAGCTCAACCGGGCAAGGGTCTTGGTACGAGTAGAGTCGCATGTGCGATCACATGCTGGGCTCTAGGTCTGTCGCTGGTGTTGGAGAGCCCGGGTCCGCTTGATTCAGCGACCTGCAGAGGAGCCGCAGAGGGTTGTGCAGAGATGCGCAGAGCGCGACACGTGAAGCCCCCGCCTTAGACTTGTGAGGCGTGTCTGGAGCATCCAATAACACACGCTCCTTGGGGCTTAGACGAAGGTTTGCGCACCGTTTTCATGGCGGAGGCTACCGAGGCAGCGGCCAAATTATGAGGCTCCGAGATTGTTCGGTCCAGCGGCAAATTGGGCACGAGCTCCTGGGCACGAGTGCAACATGGGCTTATGCAGCAGACAGGTGCGCGTGCCTCTTCGGGTTCCAAGATGTGTTCCGGTGCAGTGGGCAATGTGCAAGCTCGCCGAAGCACTGTCCTGCTATTGCAGCTTGAGTGATGTCTGTCAAACCCTCGAGGCAGCAGTCACATTGCAAGGATTTTGGGGAGCTGGGCACGCGCGGCACCGGTCGCCAAGCGAATTCCCGCGGCCACACTTGCGTTGCAAGTGCTCAAAGTGCTTGGTGGTGTCCCGCCCAACGGCAAAGCCGAAGTGCGGGCTGGATGCCGCAGGCATTCCTCGCAAGCCTTTCTGCCCTCCTCCTGTTCTGCCAACACTTGACGAAGCACCGAGATCTCCGCAGTCGCCAAGGCTATGGGTCCGCTGAAGCTCTCATTCAGCTGGGCTTCGTGCTGCTCCAGTCGTCTCAACTCTGCGTGCCAGTGGCGGACATCCCTCAGCAAGGACGCCACACTTTTTTCAGCTTCGGAGTCGACGGCAAAATCATCTTCGCCAGATCGAAATCGCAGGGACCGCGAAGATCGAAGATCGGCGAAACGCAGGAGCTCCTGCTGAAGCTGTCGGAGCTGTGCCAAGCGCCGGACATCAGCACCGGCCAAGGCGACGCGCTCCAAACGCCGCAGGTGTCGGAGCTGCTCCGAAGCTCTTTGCAGGTTTGTCTCTCGCTCCGAGCACTCTGAGAAAATCAGGGCCTCCAAGGACCCGACTGATCCCAGAACCTCCATCGTTTCAGAGGTTTCGGTTATCACTCTTTGACCTGAGATGTGCCTTGAGCCTATAGCGGCTTGGTGATGCACGTGCAGGGAGTGCCACATTGACGAAGCTTGTGGACGGACGATTGTAGGCACGGCCTCAAACAGCATGCTCTTCTAGTTGTATGCGCTTAGCACGAGGGTGCCCGATTTCTGCAGACTGGTTACGGGTCCTTGGAACAAAGGCCTGCGGGAAAGCAGAGCTCAACGTGCTGTTCTTCCTCGGCACAGACTGAATGGCGTACGACTCATGAGCAGACAACACATAGGACATAGGACCCAGCTCCATGGGACTTGGCAGCCCAAAGGCGCCCAAATAGTTTTGCGTCCTGAGATGCAGCAGCAAGTACGGCTTCGAACAGGCCCTCCTCTCTTGGAGACCAGGGGTGGCAAGTTTGAGATGCCTTGCATCTTGAACCGACTCTGACTTGACTTGCCGAGGCTTTGCGCATGTGCACAGCCAGTTGAAACCGTTTCTTGACAAAACCACACCTGCAAAACTGATACCCTGCTGCCACGGCAAGACATGCACGGCTGAACACTCGCATTACCACTTCTTCCGGCACGGAAGTTGCAATCGCACAGTCTAGCAGTTTCTTCTGCGATCGGCTATTTGCGCCTTCCTTTCAGCTCTGTCTCTGTGCTTATACACGAGGTTCAACCGAGAAACCTTCGCCAACGGTAAGGTTGTTTGCCTTCTTGCAAACAAAAAAGAGCCCACAAAGAAAATTATACATGTCGACAGAAGCGAACAAGCGCCCACCGATTTGGACGGCCATAGAAAAGTGTTTAAATTTATCTAGTTGGAACGCAAATGAACTGTTCCCGATCACGCCGGCGCGCTTCACGTCTTTTCCATGTGTAGCCTCTCATGTCGTGCAGGGAGAACGGTCACACCGCGGGAATACTGCTTGCCCAGTCCATCTCCTCTAACAACCGCAACGGGCTTCTTCCCTTGCTGTTACTGTTGCCTGGCCTCTATGCCAATTCCATGCCACACAACGAAACTGCCGTTCCGTCATCCGCCTTTTCGAGGAGGCCGAGGTAGAGTCCCTACAAGGACCCGGGAAAGTGAGTCCCCATTTCGTCCCCCCCCCGACGTCTGCGCCTGAAATGTTCCTGCACCTAAATTTGGTGCAGACATTCGGCGCCTTTCATGATGTGCGAGAGCTACCTCGACTTTGCAACGGTTTCCAGTCGGCTCGGTGCCTGACGCCGACATTCGGCGCTCGAATTGTCTGAAGCTGAAATTCGGTCTGCCCACAGCTTCTACAGGTAGTCATCGAGCGACCTAGCATCCGATGTACATCCGGTCATGCTTCTCCAGACACTCTGCCCAATTCTTCAAATCAAGGTTTCCACCCAATGCCTCGCTCAGGGGAACATCGAGCCAATCGCCCCACTTTCCGATGTTTCAGCCAAGTGAACTGGTTTGGTGTCAGCGAGGATGTTGTTGGGGCGGCCAAGTGGGCAGCAAACTTCGGGATGAGATAAAGGAGTGATGTGTGGACTTGCGGAGAGCCTACATAGTCCATCTTGAGGACAATGTCCATGCAAACGGGACGCCGGATCACAGTGAGATCCTCAACTGCCTGAATGTTATCTTGGTGGCGTACACCGCAACACAGACTTCACGTGTGGTCTCCGCTGCACCGGGATTGCCATCGTCTTCAACATAAGTGCACAGATCCGCATTGCGACATCGATGTGTCCTTCCAGCCCTTGTCGTATGTCCCGGCCCCTGACGGAAGGTATGTGAACTGTTGGTGGCCACGGGCAGGCCTTTGCAGTGTGGTCACGACCTTGTTCATGTAATACTTGTGGGCCCGTCGTGACGTGGGTCACCAAAACCCCGACCAAGCGTTGCCGTTAGCGACGCTCAAACAAAACTGGCTCCAACTTCGACTCCTCCCACTGTCCTCCCGCGCGCCAAGCAATCGCTTTCAGCAATGGCGCTGGCCTTTTTGAAAGTGTTTGCAGTGAACTGCTCGGCCGTGGTGAAGTCTCGGCGAATGGCTGTCCAAATATGGATGTCTGTCTTTCGACGTAATACCTCTGCAACAATCTCGGTGCGGCTCGAACTAGTAGTAGACGAGGAAGTCGCCAAGGTCCGAAGAGATCCGCCCGGGTCGAAGCAAACAGCCAGCATGTACGGTCACCCCCAAAACGTCCAGCTGGAAAGCCTCTTCCGGAGCACGTACTAGCGCTGCCTTCTGCTAGCCCTCGAGAAAAAGCCTCGCGCCACTTGTGGCTGGATGTGTGCAACAGGTGCGCATAGCGTCGATCAGGGCAACAGTGGCCTCATTGATCTCCTGCTCTTTCTCATCTTCACCCAGTGGCGCTCAGGAGCAAACTCGCCCGCTTGGAGGGCTGAGGGCGGTCCCAAATAAATTATGCGATGGATTCATGAGTGGCTCTCTGGGCTCGCTCATTTCCTTGCTGTCGTCGTGGTTGTGGACCATAGACGAATCGAATTCCAGTGCTTGTGGTGAAAGTGGTTCCAGCCAGGCAGCCCGGCTGGTCTGGCCACTTGTCTCGGTAAGCCCGGCATAAAGCCCCTCGCCCAGTGGCCGTGTGAAAGCGCAAGGGGTTGTTTCATCGCCAGCTCGCCTTGCTCCGGCATCGGCCCGGAACCTCCTCCTGTTGCCAGCCGCGGGAAATCAAAAGAGGCGATCGGGCCGAGATGCTATTCGGCCGATCGCTTATGCTTGTTCCTACACGCACCCGTGCGTTACACAACAAGCGCTACGCTAACGACGTGTTAGCCAAAACTCCTACTTGGGTGCAGCGGCTCCTTTTGGATGGTCGAGTCGCATGGAATGCGCCCGGCCGAGCACACCGCTTTCAACCGGTGCCAGTGCCGGTGCGCACTTCTGCGTCCGCCCAGCAAACCCGCCTCCCACAAGAGGCGCCGGCACTCCTACCAAGAAGCAAGGTCTAGCAGCTGCTCAGGAGCCTCGTGGCAGGCGTAGTCGAGGTCGGTCGCCGCCCGCCCGCCGGCACCGTTGGCTGCTGAAGGCACCCGATAGAACTCGGGGCACCACGCCCGGTCATCCGCCAGTCCCCAGAACGCAGCCAAGATTCCATTCACCGCCGGGTCCCGCCCATAGCCCTTCATGAGGGCGAACTGCCGGATAAACGCCCGTCGCGAGGCGAAGGGCCTGAGGTACTCAGCCTTGATGATGCCGAAGTCGTAGAACACCTGCCCGTCCAGGAGCAGCACAAAGCCCCAGCCGTTCTGTGGCCGGCCTTCTTCCGCAAGGTGCAGCCGAAAACGGACTGGCTCAAAAAGGTCCGCCCAGCCAGCTTGGAAGCGACGTCCGGGCGAAGGGAGTGCGAGGCCAGCGCGTCGTGGATCTGCTTGAGGATCTTGGCCACTTGATCTTGGGTGGGGCGGAGCTCAACGGTTTTTGGGGGGCACTCTAACCATGATGCACTGGAGCCCCAGCAGGGCGAAGAAGTCGGCCAAGGGGAAGTGCCCGAACAAGACGAGAAGCAGGGCATGGGCGAGCATCTGGACGGCATCGGCCGCCCGGTTGACGTTCCAGGCGCTGGCTGCCGCCCCAAAGCACATGGCGAAGCGGAACCAGAGCGTGGTGCCAGCCGCCGTGGAAAGGAAAGTGCCACAATGACCTGGGTGTTTGACCTCACTGGCGGTAGGCGTTCAGCAGGTCGTGGCCGAACAGATCCGGGCCCCAGCCCTCGGCCATCGCCCACGATGTGGCCCAGAAGTGGTGGGTCGGGACGTCGAACGCGGACCTCCTCCAGTCTTCGCCCCCGCGCCGTTCTCGTCGACCTGGACGATGGCGAAAGAGAGCACCGCGAAGCAATCGCCCAGCGGCGGCTCACGCAGCCGCCGCGTGTGCTCGGAGTCCCGTCGGCCAGGTCTTGGAAGAGACGTACACCGGTTCTCTGCGTCCATGAAGGCGATGGCGTCCTGGCACATGCGCCCACGTTCACCCTCGTGGCTGGAGAAGTCCTGACAGGGAGGGGCGGCCGGGGCGGCTGTCCAGACGACCAGTGCCTCGCCTCGTAGTGGTCGGCCTCGATCATTTCTGCGACGTCGTCCTTGTGACGCTGCTCCGCCACCCAGAAAGGGGCCTTGCGGGTCGGGCCGCCCGAAGGCGGCGTTCAGGCCGAGGCGCAGGTGCCCTCCGAGACTCCGAGGTGCCCGACGAAATTGGCGATAAAAAGATGCTCCTCGGTGTGTGTCGAGGCATCGCAAGTGGCCTGCATGCCCACAGCCGAGGCGAAGAAGCCCGAAGGCCTAGGTCCTAGGTGCCGCCCAAAGCCCGGCATGGGCAGGACGGTGCACCATGATCTCCCCTCCTCGTGGTTCGAGTGGGCGACGTCCAATGCCACAACCTCCGCCGCAGACGTAGTAGGCGCCGAGGGTCGAAGTAGGACCAGGCGGCGCCCAGTCCAAGCCTGCTGCCGCGGCGAAATCGGCCGCGCTTGTGCCTGAGCGGCCAGAGGCGGTGGCGGCGGTGGAGGCGCTGGAACCAGTCGACATGACCAGAACACAGAGAGGACGAGGGGAAATCAAAAGAGGCGATCGGGCCGAGATGCTATTCGGCCGATCGCTTACGCTTGTTCCTACACGCACACGTGCTTTACACAACAATCGGTGCTTTCACAGACAATGGCAATCGTGCAAAACCCGGGCTGATCCGGGCTGGCTTCACACAGTGTATGGCAAGGCTCGCAATATGCCTGCAACCGTTTGTTGAAGTGCCGCATGCTTTGCTATGTCCTTCCGAAATCCGCCAAGAATGATGCGGATTGCCAGATGATGAGGCGAGACGTTGACAAAACGTAGCGGCCTCTCTGCTTCACCCATCTTCATAAGGATAGTATGACTGCGTGTGAAGTGAAATCGAAAATCCTGAAACACTTCAGCAAACGAACACGCGCTTCGCTGCTTCGCCTGTTCCCCCGCCGATGCTGGATACTTGCGGACGCCTGAGTCCAAGACGGACTTGGGGCAGATGGCCAGGATAACGTCGGTGTCGGACAGGATCTGCACAGCCGCAAAAGAAACATACAGTGACTACAAGTAGACATGCCTGGAATGTCACTGGAATGTGCTCTAGCCGCTGGCTGGGAGGCTGGGAGCCTTGGTGTCGACTCAGCACTCGACCTGAGCGATTCTTCTGAACCTCCGCCTCCATGCTTCGCTCCGCAAGGCTCCCACGGCCTTGGCGGGTGCCTTTTGTGGGGCGCAGAGGGGCCTGGGCAGGAGCACACCACCGACATCCACCGACATTCCGTAGAAACTGTCCAGCCCTCATGTCCGTTCTTGCACAAGCTTGGCACAGATGGTGGTCCGCCAATAGGTCGAGGGAGCATTTACCGGCCTCAGCGATGTCCAGGCAACCTCTGTCATGACAACTGGTCGGGGCAGGATCATGTTCGGCACAAACTGCGAGAATCTGCGAGCCCAGCGTATAGACCGAACCAGCTGGCGAAGGCGCTTCTGGCGAGAGTGCTTCACGGCAGCTTTAGGACCAGAGGATGGGGTTGGTCCTGGCTGTGGAGCAAGCGACGCAGGATCCCCAAGCTCCTCCAGCCTAAGTTGATTTGCAGGCGTGTTTTTAGCACAAATTTGCGATGCAATACCGCTGTCTCGACTGTTTCGCCCACATCTGGTGTATGGGATGCATACGCCTCCATGTGGATTCCAACTGGACAGATTCCCACAACTCTGTTTGTCATTGCGTTGCATCTTACCAGGAGAGGGCTGTGGCCTTTACTAGATGGATTTCGTCTCCAGATCTGTGTAACTCACGTCATTGTATATGTCATGCAAAAGTTATAACGTTGTTAAATCCGTGATTACGATGAATTCGGAATTCAAACGAAGGGACTCTGTCGGTGCGCAAGCGTATACTTCCACAGGGCGAAGCTCCTGAGGCTCCAGCTCCAGCTCCAGCGGTGGCAGTCCGGCAAGAACTCCACGAACTGAGACCGGCAAAGATGAGTCTGTGGCAGCAAGAGCAAGCGTCCTCTGACAGAAAAGACACCTCTAACCTGTGCAGCCTCTATCGACCACTTCCAAACGGACGGGAAGGTCGAACATGACAAACAGGCCTCGCTCCATCAGAATGCAGCACGGATCCAATGCCAAGTAAGCCAGCAAAATACGCTAAAAGCTGCAGCGACTTCACTTCGTGCGACGGATCAGTGCTATGACTTACAAGTTCAACTTAGGACCTCACGATCGGCTCTGTCAGAACCACGGCAAACAATGCGGATGTTGCAAACATGTGCAAACAAGCCAAGATCCAACTTTTTCGCCCGATGGCTGTCTTTCAGGAAATACCTGCAGCTAATTTCAGAAAATCAAGCAAAGCGCACCCCGCAAGCGGCTTCTCCGACAGTCAGCATTCGGCGATCTCTCGCAGAAGCACATAGACACAGGTGTCAAGTCTCGGGATATTCATCTGCTCCCTCGCATGGAAGCTGCCCCGGAAGCACATACATCCGAAGCTATGCAAGCAGGCCAGCGATATTTATCGGCTAGAGCAGCCCCCAAGCGTGAAAAAGCGTCTCTGGATGCATTGCATTTTGAAAGCAGCCGGACTGGTTCTACGAATCTCCGAAGAGGCTTGGCTCCTGCGCTGCCTGCTGACAGAAGGTAAAACACAAAATGCAGTCGCGAATGGGTTTGCACGTATTGGGAGGCACCGCAAAGCACAGCCTCTGCGCCTAGACAGCTCATGCTCGGCCGATTCCACTCACGCAGCTGCAACTGCTGGCAGTGCAGACTCAAAGGATCTCCAATTGGACCAGTCCATGCTCCAAACGTCCTCTTCGTGGTGCATTTCCTGGGCTGCACGAGAAGTCCCGCCAAGCGCCAAGCCCGTTTTGGCGAAGCGCCTCTGCCTCACGGCCTGCCCGAAGCTCGGGGCCTGCAGCAAAACTTGCAGAGATCTTTCAGCGATGCAAAACTTGACTTCAAATAGCCAGAATGACAGCGAAAGGGTCTGCATGTCCGCTGTGCTGACATAACAGCAGAGCACCTTCAAACCCCCTGCACATGGCCTTGGCTGAACATCTAGAAACGAGGCAACTCAACATGTACAGTGCTTGGCAGAGGCTTGGATGACCGCCTATGCAATCATATGCCATCCCGATGCTTTGAATGTATATATAAGACAAAACCTAGAAACACCGACCGTTGCTCGTGGGGAGGCGAGAAGGGAAGGGTCGCGCAGGGACACCGAAGCGGCCCATGGGCCTTTCGCTGCGAGCGACTTGCTCAGCGCTTGCTCGATCTCTTTATCGAGCTTCTGCACAAGCCTGGACTCAGGCGAAGGAAAACCGGAAGGGGATTTGACTCTCCTCATGTCTCAAAGCACGTCAGGCTGACTTGTCTTTTCCAGCCCGCTGCGCTTGCTCGCGGCGCTTCTGCATTTGCGCTAGCCACGTAGGCGTATCATTGAGGTCGAACACCTCTTCGGCCGGCACGGGCTGAGCTGATGTCTTCGTTTGCTCGACGCACAGGCTGAACTTGCAGTGGGTGCCTCGGCCTTGCGAGGAGGTTCGGCTTCTTGAAGCTTTCTGGCCACCTCTTCCCGCTCCTGGTGCTTGCGGGTACACTACGAAATCTCGACTTCAGCCCATCGTTTCGATTCGCACGAGCAGCGAGGCGTGCCAGGAATCTGTGAGTGCACTGCTTTCGGAGTGTTGACCTTCGTGCGCAGAACAGCTTCAGAAGCTCCTCGCGATTTGTCCAATCCGCCATCCAGATTGGGTCAACGTATTCCTGCACGACTCCATGTCTTTTTGCAGCGGGCCCGGCGAAGCCCAAACAGACACGAAGGGATTGTCGGCAGTCTAGTTGTCAGATCAAACAAGGTTCGTTTCGACGTTCCATGCACCTCATCTTCCTTTTCTGCCATCTCCTTGGCTTCGTCGGCCTCAAGATGCTTCGTCTGACTTCGACGGTCATCCGAGATTGAAACAGTTCAGCGTGGCCTGGAGGCACTCTGCTGTCACGTCCTGCAGACCCGACTCAAAGCGCGGCTGGGCTTGGTAAGCCGTCGAAGCCATACAAAAGATCCACACAAACCTCCGGTTTCGATGAGGGATGCCATCTTTTCGCACTCCGAAAAACTGCCAGCGAAGAAGCTGTCAGTGCAGCTACCAACAGTGGCACCTCGGCTGCAAAATCTTGACGACATCGATCCCTACGAGACCTTGCTCGTGCAATGCGTTTTCTCTCACCCGCCCGGTCCCGCCGAGAGAGAGAGAGAGACAGATGTGTGTATATATATATATATATATATACGTATATATATATATATATATATATATATATATACATATATATATATATATATATATATACGGTCTCCGCACTGAGGAATGCTTGTGTTATGTACTTATACAGGCAATCATAGTGCGGACCGAACCTGTGACTGCACATGGACTAATCATCGGACCATCGCACCGCGCACCTGCAGCACTTGCAGGTGTTGCAACGAAGCAGGTTTTGTTTGTCTGCACAGCCCATCGTTGCATTGGCTGCGCAGGCGATGCATGTGTTCATTTCTCAGCATGCCGCGCCGGGAAGCAACCTCTAGGACGATCAAACTGCATCACATCACGTCGCAAAGCCACACTTGCAGAATTTTCGCACGCTTGCACATCCGGCTTGTCGCCGCCTACTTGGCATTATCATATGCAACCTGTGAGCTCAATTTCCGTACGCGGAGATTTCGCTGGTTGCCGTGGTCGGCTGCAGGAGTTTGAAAGGATGGGAAAACTGTCAATTTTGTTGCGGTCACATTCACGCCAATCTTTCGGAGCATGTTACCGGCACCTGAACTTGGAGTAATCGGGTTGTTTCTTCCGGAACGTCTCTCTATATGCTTTGGTAACAGTCCCAGAACCCAAAACAAACTTTCAAGATCCTGACAGACTATCACACCTTGGTACTGAGTCCGCCTGAGAGAAGAACTCCAAAGCTTAAACCGAAGACAGAAGACCCCAACAGGAAGCATCAACAGCATCCAAAAACCTAGACCTCAAAAGAGGTGGATACCAAGGCTATGCTAAGCCCGTGCTGCGGAAAGCCTCTGGAAGTGAAAATTGGACCCCAATTTGCTCCCCCCCCATTTAAGGCTGGAAGGAGGACTGAACAACGCTCCCTAACGAGGAGCTTTCGTGACATGATGATTCACGTCCAAGCTCCAGGACCTTTCCTTCACATATTGTGATGAAGCAAATAGAGATGTGTTCTGTGCATGACCTCGGCCATCGAGGCATCCTTACAGAAGAAGGAAGCACCGTAATTCAAGGGTCACAGACACTTTTGTGACTTTAGTTCATGGCTGTAGAATAACACATTGTGGATACCCGCTGTTTCTCAAACAAGTGATGGAAGTTGGTCCTGCGAGTTTTAACGAGAAGCCTCTGCAGGCAAGGATTAGGTCGATCATCTTCTTGTCTCTGCCATCAATGTCTGTGTAAACACAGTTGCATGTTGCCTTCGTCTCTGGATGCCTTAGGCTGCATGTCTGGACGCAGCTCTAAACTGGGACCCGAGCAAGTGTCGCCAGCACAAGGTTCTGCCGGCCCAACCAGCGATGTGCGATTGCAAAATATGCTCCGAACAGTACCTAAAAGACGGTCGGAAGCAAGTGGCTTCTGAACTCAGTCAAGTTGAGCGCGGCGCCATAAGTATCTGCCCGATGTTGTCTCCAATCAAGCTTGTGCTGCCTGCTGCAGCAGAAGCATAAAGCCCAAGCCATGAGTCCTATACGACAAGAGAATTGCGCGAATTATCGCAAGCCTCCTGCAGCAGGCATCTTGTCCTGTCGCATGGGGTGCGCTCGTCTCGTCTCGCCGTCTCAAACGAAGCGGAGCAAATCTCCATCTCCAGCCTTCGCAGCCATGGCTCCAGCACAGAGGGATCTCCACCCCCAAAAAAGAGCCGCCCCCGGGGCGGGCCCGGCGGGAGCTTCCGAAAGAGGCACCGAGCAAAGATCCTTTGCCTTTCCCTGGGCTGCGAAGTCTAGACCTCCAAACCGGACCGTCACCTCCATCGCTTTGCAGGATTTCGAGGCAATGCAGTTGCTGCTGGCAACGCTGTACTTCGTGCGGTTAGCATCCCGATCCAGCAGCCTTCGTCGATGGCGTTCTGATTATGAGAAGACGGCACTCGCTGCAATGCTTGTAGCACGGGTGTCGATACCCGCTGATGTGAATTGTCTTCCTTTCGCCTAACCTTCACGGAAGCCTTCATGCATCTAAACATGCTCCTTTATGCTGGCCTGTGTCCTTGTTGCCTTGGAAGCACTGCTTTAAATACCTGCCCCAAAGACTGAAAAATGAGATGCTTTCGCCGCTCAGCGAGACCCTAGAGTAGAAGACCAGTTCGGAACTTCAGGACTCTGCAACTGCCCTTCCGAAACTGTTGTTTCGCAACTGCCTTTATCCAGTCTAGCATGACATGCGGTTGTCGATCGTAAACTTCGTAAACACAGACATACAAAGAAGCTGCCAGCAGTTACGAGTCGAGAGGTCGACGGCTTGTTTCGATCAGCGACAAGGCTCTAGGCTGAATCCAGCGGCGCAGGCTTTGTGCGCCTCAGACCTGCATAGAACGCATGGCGCTCCTGCCGCATCTCCTCACCAAAGCATTGCTGAGAGATGCTACAGCCTTGTCGCTACCACTACTGAAGATCAGCCGCTATGGACCTGTGACCCCCTCCCACACTCCCTATGCCGATTGGATTTGCCGACAATCATGCTACAGCAGAGCCTGCTCAGTGGACTTGAAACTCGTTCCGGGTGGCTGCCGGAGACAACGCTAGCTGCACCAAGTCATCCTGCTGATTTTTTACACATGCACGGTGTTCGGAGTTCGTGACTTGCCATTTGCGGGCTTCCGCTTGGGATTCCCTTCCGTTCACTCCGTTTAGGCTGCGCCAGGGCCCGGGCCTGAAACGGAACCCGAAACGGACTCACCGGAAACAGAAAACCAGAAGGTGTTCCGTTGCCGGTTCCGTTTTGGATTTCGGCACGCCAGGTGCATGGCTCCGGGTCCGTTTTGGATGTTCTGGATACCGTCAGCATGGTTTGCAAAGCTGCAAAGAAGCAGAAGATACCACAAGGGAAAACGAAAACCTGAACGAAAGCGTGATAAACAACGGAACCCCGAATGGAAACGAAAAAACACAGCAAAAACGGAACTCAAGCGAGAACGGAAGTGGACATTGCGAAGCTGTGGTTCTGATAAATCTCTGGGCTGCAGCGGTTGTCGCGCGGGCCAGGTGCCCCAACACATTGCTGCGGAGTTCGAATGCCGAGTGGCCCAAGTTCTGTTATGCAGTTGCGCCATCCGTGCCGGGGGTTTAAATGCGGAAGGGGCGTTAGGGAATGATGGCATCTTCCACCTCAGACGAAAGGTGGCTTTTATGTCTTCGAAGTAAGTTTTCAGCCCTTTCACTGAAATGTCTCAGTTGTAACTTCTTTTCTGCACCAAAAACAACAAATCTCTGCTGAGGTTGCAAAACAAGCATCTTGGTTTTTAACTGTTTTGCTGTCTACAGAAACAAGCGACTAACTCTTAGGCTGTAAAGCATTTCTGGTCTATTTATCACCCAGCCACTATTTTGTTGCTTTATTTAGCACCAGCTGGATTCACTCCTTAGGCTTCTTGTCTTCGGTCAAAGTTTGCTGCTGGATTCACTCCCTAGGGTTTTCGTTTGAGTGTTCACTCCTTAGGGTTTTCGTCTTGGGTTGGAGTCTCCTGCTGGATTCACTCTTTAGGGTTTTCGTCTTCGGGCAAAAGTTTCGGCTGGATTCACTCCTTAGAGTTTTCGTCTTCAGGAAGAAGCTCCGGTTGGATTCGCATTCACTCCGTAGGGTTTTCGTCTTGGGCATTGACTGCTTAGGGGTTTCGTCGTGGGTTAAACTTTGCGGCTGGGTTCACTCTTCAAGGTTTTCGTCTTCGGTAGACGGTTCCTGCTAGAATTATTCCTTAGGGTTTTCGTCTTCGGATAAGCTGCTGCTGGTTTCACTCCTTAGGGTTTTCGCCTTAGGCATTCACTGCCCAGCGTTTTCACCTTGGGAGTTCACTCGTTAGGGCCTCGTCTTGGTAATTCACTCCTTAGGGTTTTCGTCTTGGGCATTCACTCCTTAAGGTTATCGTGTTGAGTTAAACTTTCCTGCTGGATTCACTCTTTACGGTTTTCGATTTCGGGAAAAGGTCCCGGCGGCTGGATTCACTCCTTGAGGTTCTCGTCTTGGGTATTCATTCCTTAGGGTTTTCGTCTTCGTCAGGGAGGGAGGATGAGGGAGGGAGGGAGCGAGGGAGGGTCACAGTTGAGGTTGTCGTGATTGTGGCCGTGGTCGTCGTGACTGTTGACGTCGTCATAGTGGTGATTGTGGTGGTAGTCGTAGCAGTTTAACATAAATGCCAGATGACCATTTGTTTAGGGTTAGGGGCCCAGGTTCCCAAGGTCTAGGGTACAGCCTGTCGTACCTGTAAAGGGATTGGGCGCAGCAACTGCATTATCACTGGTAGCTGTGGCTTCCACATGTCGGCTTAAGCTTAAAGCCCATTACAAAGGGGTAGGTGGCACAGGTGGGGTAGGTGGTTAAGTAGGGCAGGTGGGGGGAGTGGGGGTAGGCTGGGTAGGTGGGGTGAGTGGGGCATGGGGTAGGTGGGGTAGGTACGAAAAAGTTGTGTCTAAGACCAAAAACAGTTACATCTAAGACAAAAAAGTTACAACTAACCCTGCCACCACCTCAAACGGTGTCGAGAGCCGCTTCCGAAGGCGCCTGCCCAAGGATTGCTTGGGCCTTCCTGTTTTTACAATCACCACCGCGGCAGCCAGCATCTCAGCGATTGGGGAACTTGCTGCAACACCACCCAGTACACATACGTCGCATCACGAAGCGGCGTGCTGCTGCGCGGTCCTCCTCCATCTCTTCGTCCAACACACGTTGATGAAATTCGGCCCATCCAGGTGGCAAGACGGCCTCAGCACAGTAGAGGCTTGCTTTCAAATGTGCTTCATTGGTGGCTGCACGCCTTCGCAGAGCCAAGCTTGCCGAACAGGGGCCAGTCCTCAGTCAGTGAAAAAGCCGATACAGCTACGCACAAGACACGTTTATTAACATCAAGTCGCCTCTCCTTGATGCTGCAGCTCCTTTCAGAAGACTCACAGAAACTCAGCGGGAGGAGTACTGACCAGAGTGGTCGACCATCGACCGGATCCGGTGCAATTCAAGCCCGGCTAATCACTGACGTTGCAATGTGATAACAGCACCGCACCATCAACTTCAGCACACGTCCGCGGAGCCCACAAAGAAACAGAAAACTCAGATTGGGTCTCCTCTAGCCTGACGTAGACAACGTCTCGCCCGAGCACTGCGACTTTGGCATATCCCTGAGACCGAACCACAGTGGCCAAGGGCAAACACAACGCGAGCACGCCAAGACAGTTCAGATATCTGGCACAGCTTGCAAGGTCTCCTTCGGCAGCAGGATCGAGTCCACCTGCAAAGGCTCAAGAATGAAGATCCGCTTCTCAAGGATGCGGACCTAAGAAGCCTCCAGCCATCGAGCTCCTCGTGTCACTTCAACGACCTTGGACACTTGCCTTCTCCGAGTAGACTACTGCTCTACCTATGCTGTGTCTCTTCGGGCCCCTGCGATAATGCGGATGTCAAACTCTTCGAAGGACAGCCCCCTCAAGACTGCTAACTCCTGCCACGCGAGTGCAAAATCTCCAACTTTTCTACACCCTGCACGATGTTGTTGACACCGACCTGATGTTCGACGTCGATGCTGAGCAGGTCGATGCGCCGGCCAGACAGCCCACCTTCACGCAAAATCTCGGTCAGCGTCAAGCAGTCCTCTCGTCAATGCTGACTGGGGCTTGGGATCGGTCAGAGGTCTCACAAGTACGATAGTAAATCTTGATCGGATAGATGCTAGTCCCAGTCCGCATGGAACTCCACTTTGCCGTCCCGGTCAGCAAAGGGCCGCCCAGTGAGGCCAGCCTGTCGCCCGAGCATGTCTGCGCGGCTTCTGCACTAAGTCGAATGATTCTAATGGGAAAGCACGCAGGACTCCTCGTCAACGCAATTCCTCACCGGAGTTTCGCATATTGACAAAAGCGGCGCTCTAGTTTGGAGGCACCAATACAGTCAAGGCTCGTAAAGACTTGGCAGGATCGGTAAGCCTGCGGCACCATTGCAGTCTCTTCGGTGATAAAAAAACAACGATCGGAGTCAGACGGCCTCGAGGATAAAGCTGAGGTGAGGGTTGGGCTCAACGCAGAGCCCCTGCCAGCCAAGGCAACGGTCCAGCATCACCTAAGTCGCGCGGACAAAGACGCGAGCAAGAACGCAGTTTTGAAGATCTTCATCATCGTAACAAAGGTAAGGCACCGTGTTGCTATAGTCAAAGGGAAGAGATGCCCCGACATCCACGTAAATGCCATTCGCATCAAGGCCCAGAAAGTTTCGGAGAATGAACCAGTCTTGGCCTGCAGATCTTTCAGCAGCCAGTGGAAGACACTTTGGAGGCTTTTGGTGCAGCCAGGCGGCCAAACTCGGAGATAGAGGCGTTCGAGCCCTGCTCTGTTCGAAACTCATCGCAGCGAAGCTCCAACACGTTGGGATCTTGGAGAATGCTTTTGAGGACTCTGGAGGCCTCGGCATGGTGCAAAAACGTCGCCGTCGCCTGCACTCCAGCTATTGAAGCCGTGACACGCAGATCCTGCCGAGGCAATATCCCCGCATCATCAGGTACGTTCGCTCCCAGAACGTGTTGAGATGAGCACATGCTGGGCTGGCAACCTTCACAGGCGAAGACTCTCCACTGAACCTAGTCATCCCTGGAGGGAGAGCTGACGCGCTTTTCACCTAGATGCCCCTTATATCCCCTTAGGCGATCTCCTTCAAAATCATTCAGTCTTTACGCCTAAGCCACAGCTGAAGGTGTTGAACGTAATTTGTATGACTGCATCATCTGTGCCCTGTATGAGTACCCCGTTGTCGGGGGGGGTCTGAGGCGCCCCCCCTTATAAGGCTGAATCCGTTTCAGCCACCCGCATGAAATAGAATAGAGCCTAGGTGACGGTTCCGTGAAATTTCAACAGGGGTGCTCGGAGGGGGAGGTAGGTAGGCTTGGGTCCGCAGATCTGTCCATGCAGTGAAAATTGCGGCACTCGAAAATGTGCTTGAAGTACCTGGGGAAAGGGTTGGGGGGCAAGCAGGAAACTGCTGGGGGAAAGGGTTGTGGCCACGGCCGTGCTTGCGGGAAAGGCTAGCGGCTAGTGGTAATTTAGTAGATTTCCAATAGAAACCTAGTAGCAGCCTAATAAAAGAGGCTACCATAGCCCCGCATAGTAGGAATTTAATGGTTATCTAATAGAAATATAGTAGCAGCCCAATAGAGGATGCCACCTAGCCTCGCATAGGAGGAATTTAGTAGATTTCTCATAGAAACATAGTTGTCGCCTTAAAAACGAGGTTACCGGAGCCCCGCATGAGAAATACACTGGCGCCCTTACCATCCCTTACCAAGGAGGCCAACACACAAATAGGCACGTTGCTCACAGCCTTTGATTATAGTAATGTAATTACTAGCATCGAATGGCCATATGGTGTTGCAAAGCTAGTCTGAAGGCCCTTGAGAGCGCGCTAAGCCGGTGTCCTGCGGATGCGAACGGCGACTCTCTTGAAATGGAAGATGACTCGCTATCCCAGGACAGCCCTGAAATTTCAAGCCCGACCCCCACCCTTTAGGTCTGAACCCCCACCTCGACTGAAGCTGCCCTGAAATATTTCAGAGCCTCACCCCCCCCCTCCGTTTCAAGCCACAAGGGGGCGGTGATTGCCCTGTGCTAAAAAGCGTCTTGCTTCTTCAACAAAACCAAACCTTGCGGATCCTTGCGGGGTCATGAGTCATGAGATGTTAGTTTCTCGGAAAACGCTTCGGCCCTGCGATGTCGGCTTGACACTGCACGGATCGACTCCGTGAAGCTGGGAAGAAATCAAGATCACACGTGAACGACCATGCGGATGCGGCAGTGACGAGGAGTCTGCTTGCTGGCTGTTTCCGTGCTTGTCCCTGCAGCTGCGACAGTGCTCATGCTGCACCCTCGGATCCCGCGCCTCTGTCGTCTCGCTAATGCACTCATCGGATGCCCAGATGGTCACCACGTGGCTGCCTACCCGATCCATGATGCGCTCCAAGGTGAAGCGTGTAGACACCTTGGAGAACAGTACGAGGTCGCAAATATCTCCATCTTCCTGGCAGCTTGCTTCGTGTGCAGTGGCCACTCTTTTGCCCTGCTCTCCGGCCTGCTCCGTCTGCGACATCGGTATCGGCGGCCTCTGCCATTTTCCATGGCCTTCGGCAAGCCGCACACGTCTCCCAAAGCGGCGCTGCAGCTCGGAGGCCAGCGCCAACCTCAGCTCAAAAGGCCTCGCACCGGTACATGCAAGACCTACTATGAAGCAGAATGTTCTCGGCAAGCATCATTTCTTCTCCCGAGTCTAGCACGTCGATGATTTCTAGCTCCTGCAGACTACGAACAAACAAAGCCTTGAGCACGTGCTGCAACACTCTTCTTCCAAATGAGAATCTTCCTACGACCTCCCAACCATCTCGCCGGCAATATCAAAAGATGACACCCGACATAGTGAAACCGAAATAGATTGATTGATATTGCTTGCTGTTGTGCTTCCCTTCGAGGTTTTCCTGCTGTTGCTCTGCTTGACCATAGCCAAACATTGGATTGGATTTCGCGCAAAAGCATCGGTCAAACTCAGATTCGATGTGCTTCGTTTCAACCCTCAGCTTCGTGGCCGAGCTTCGCCGATAAGTGTCGACATCAGCGGTGATTGCTCCATATTGAATGTTTCCCATAGGCTCCGATCCCGCCTCTTTATCCGAGGTTCAGCAAGCCGTGGTGCAGGAGAAGGAGATTTGGGGTGGTGGAAAGAGCGTCTGGCAAATCGGGCAGCGTTGCTCGGGAAAAAGCTGTGGTATGCTGCGGTCTTGTGCCGATGCCGCAAGGGTGCACTGATCTTATTGGCATCCTGTGGTGAAAACAGACACTTACTGACTCGATGTTTGAGTTCATGCTGTTTGGCAATGCGGCTGCACACTGCATGGTGGGCTGATCCTTGAAGCTGCCTGGCGATGCCTGGCGGCCGGCCTACTGATTCTCGCACATTTGTCTCACGTCCCCCTCGTGCTGTGAGAGGTGCGTACTCGACTGTATACGCCGTTACAACCCTGAGCCAAGTCGCTTCCACGACACTGGTTCCATCTGGTTCTGATGCGCTTGAATCGCCATAATCGTGATTGCTTCTTTGGGGGAAGGGCTTCATAAAGAACTGTTTGCCACAATTATTGCAGATTCTGGTTTTGGCGATGTCAGCGCTCGTCGGCAGCGCGTGCCTTGCGATCTTTCTGCATGACTCCAGGTTTGCAGTAAGGTTGCTTGTCTGTAATGAGTGGATCCGTCCTTGCAGGCTTTTTCTTTCGCCGTTCATTTTCGGGCATCGCGGAATATGCGTCTAGACTATCTACATCTTGCGGTGCTGGTGGAGGTGGAAGTGTGCGTGTTGCTGGGGTGCGGCCCACCATGTGGAGTGCTCGCCTACGCGCCCCTTACCCCCTGCCTCAGCCAAGCCTGCTTTTCTCCTGCTTTCAATATTTCCTCGCCCATTGCCAAGTGATGGAAACTTGGTTGCGAGGTTGAAGCTTTGACGAGGCTCCGTAACTCCGCGCGTGCTGTCCGCAGCGTAGTGGGAGTCGTAGCAAATGGCGTCGGCTTTGTGTCTTTGACCCTTCGCCTCCTGGTCTAGCCATACTAGCGCACTCGTCGACAGCCGTGAGTTCGGCAGGTCGCGCTGCTTGTCCGTTTGCCTGCCCAAAAAACCTTTGGTCCGTGCCGTACTGTGGATCGTGACCAACGTGTCCTTCTTCTAGTGCAAGGGTCTCTGCATTCGACACTTGTCTTGCGGACAGTCGCTCGGGAGAACGATGTTTGTCGAAGCTGTGTATGTCCGAGTCTCTCTTTGCCCGCCCCCTTCCCCCCGCCGTAAAGACAATGAGGTGGCAATCTCCGAAAAGGACCACGCTAAGAGCCCAATCCACTTCTCCACGAACCCGCAGTGCACCAGCTGTGGCAAAGTTCCTGATGGCATTCAACACCCTTCTGTACGATTGTAAATTGAAAGTAGCTCATTGCTCGTCTTTCCTCTTGATCATCGCTGTGTCTCCTGCGAGCTTCTGGGACAGAGGGCCGTGCCACATTCTGCTCGGTGTGTGGAATCGCACTCCGGAAAGCGAGGAAAAGAGCACATATGGGAAGCTACACGCATGGCCAGTCCGACAACCACAAAACATCCCAAGAAGTAGCGCAGTTGCAAGTTGTAAGTGACACGGAGATGCTGGTACTCGTAACATCACTTGTCTTGTCCTCGCCCCTTGGCGAGGCACCCGGACCCAAGCGGCTCCTCGAGCGGCGGATCCGCGAAGCTCAGCATCCAGTCGGCCACGTCGAAGGTGGCAGTGCTCACGCCAAACTGGCATGCCCGTCTGATGGCGGGTGCCTCGCCCTGCAACAGATAGCCATTGAAAAACCGAGTGAGACAGGACAGACAGAAAGAGACACGGAGATGCATTCTGTCATATGAGGGAACTCTATGCTCGGATGACCAGATGCTACAAGTATTGATGGATGATGCAACTATGTCATTTCTTTTCGGATCTCGCCTGCGACACATTGCGCGACTGCTGGTTGATCACCACCATGTTCCAAAGATGCTGGAACTCGGCCCTCAACCCATCGTCTTGCACAACGTCCAGGGATGAAGCGAGGAACACCACAGATGTCGCCAAGCGCCACATTGCGGCAATTAATCATGAGAGAACAACGTCGACTTGCATACTCTTTCTTTCTCCTGTAGCTACTCGATCGTTTTTTGCACGTCACCCTTTCTTTCGATGGGTGACAGCGCTCTGCAGGGCGCTTGCTCTCTTTATGCATGTGTGTGTGTGTGTATGTTCTCTCTCTCTCTCTCTCTCTCTCTCTCCCTCCCTCCTCATGAACTCCCACTTTATGCAAACCCACTCGTGCTACACGTCAGCTTTTTCTTGTAATGCCTTCTGCACTGCTGTGCTGGCACTTGCCGTTGTCTTGCAGCGGAATCAGGAAGCCCTGGTCAGCGCCTTATGCTTAAAGCTGACAGGGCTGCACGCACATTCTCCCTTACAGTCCGTTCGTGGTCCGTGCAGCTGAGCAGGGCCTGCACTGCTTTTGCTCTCAGGTCACGCTCGGCCTGCCTTCGGCGGCCTGTGGGCGTCGCCTTTGCCCTTTGAGACTTGCAGCCTTGTCATAGCAGCGAGCTTGGCCGCGCGCCTGAGCCTCGCCAAAGACGCGAACAGCATCGGAGCTCCGCGGCATCTGCTGGCGTCTGCAAACTGCGGCCCGCACTGCTGCTGTCTGTCAATTCCACGGTCCATCCTTCTGTCCATCCTTCTCGGGGTGTCGCAGCGAACAGGCCGACCGACGTGCATCTTGTCATTCAAACTTGCCATTTCTGTCCTCGAACTTGACGAAGCATCGGCCTGATGGCGCATTGCCTCTGTCTTTATCGACTGCTGAGACGGACCTTGCAGGCTGTCAGCATCTTGTCGAACCAGGTGTGTACATGTCTGAACTTGCAACAACATGACGAGCATACAATCACAAGGCCCACAATGGACCGCAGGTGCCTAGTCGTTGGATGGCAATATCATAGCCTTCTTGCCCGCACAATTTGAACTGCTTCACCCCGTAGCGACACTGATCGATATTGACATTCAATCTCCGACGTCACATCATGAAAGAAGGCAACACTCCCAGTCATTGCTGTGAGCAGACTTGAAAACAACCATGCCAGCCCTAAACCCTAAAGCGACACTAACCCTTTGCCTACCCGCGCACACACCGTTCGCGCGTGAACCTGTTATCGAAACCCAAGTTCCCACACGAGCCATGCAGAAGAAGAAGAAGAAGATCTCACGTGAGCTGTTCCTCGGTTGTATTAATCCAGAATCCGCTGTGGTCTTGGAAGGGGACTTCCCCCCAGAAGTTGTCATTGTAGGGATCGAGAATGCCGACCTTTCACGGTGGTTGGCCACCCATGAACTCGACGCTTGTCTCCCCTCGCTCCCTTCATTTGAGGTGGGGCATGTGGCCGTCTTCGAAGCCTTCATGTGGCCACTTGTCCATCCTTGTCGCCTCCTGTCTCCCTTCAGGTGTGGCGAATGAGTGGGTCCTTCACTTCGGACCGCTTGGTGTCGCCGATACCGGGGTTGTCGGTCGCCACGAGAGCGATCCATGGCTGACCCATGATGACTCTTCCGTTGAAATGCACACCTGGTGGAGCTTGATGAGATCAGCTAAATGGCCTCTCAGACTGGTCAAAGCTGAACTGAGTTGCAAAGCCAGGTCAGCTGGAAGTGGTCCCACAATCGTGTCGCAGACGCGGTTCAAGCTGCAGCAAAAGAAGCATATTTGTGATACTGTGTCCTGGCACAACATGTGCATCCGCCATGGTGCATGAAATGCCCCATGCCTGGGCTGAGGCTTTCCTACCACTACAAGAGCTGTGCCCTTTTTTGAAGATTGCCGGAAATCAGGAGTCACACTCTCCCCTCCGATCAAATATCTTTAAGATACGAAGCTTCAGGCAGAAAAAAAGGTACCACATCGTATGTTCAGCTCCCAAAAGCCCTGAAGCAGCAGGCAGGCGTGCACTCGGCTGTAGTTGTTCAGACGGTGGTAGAACAGGTCATGAAAATAGGCCCCACAGAGCACAGCCTCTACATGACAGCCAAGGCCCCCCAAGCGGCAACAACAAACGCCTGTCACTACCAATCAATGCATCCAGCTAGCTCTGCTGAAAGGATCATGCTCACATCGACGGTGCGAGTTCATGGCAACCCGACAGCATTTACAAAGTCCGGTAGTTAAGCGGCGAAGAACAAGCACTGAATGCAGAACGACCTGCTGCTGGCACAGCCCAGAAGTCACCAACGAGGCTCTGACGCTTTGCCTTTTTCGCCTGAGCAGTCGAGGAATGTCTTCAAGCCCAGCAGTTGGCTTGAATCTGGCCTCGGTGTCCTCGTACTCTGCCAACTCGTTGAGGGGCAACCGCCTAAGTCATGCTTGATCGCAGCCCTTTTCGGAGAAACTGCTTTTCAAAGGTAAGCTTTGGCACTCCATCATGTCGACGACCATGGATTGTTTGACTCCCTGCTGGAAAATGCAGTTTCACGAAGTCATGTACCAACCTTGAGATACAAAAAGTCACCTCCATGAGGATGCCCATGGGGATCGCCTCACAGCATCTCATAAAAGCGCTCTGCTTTCGCAGCAGTCTCATATGCAAGCAGCACAAACTTCCCGGTGTCTTACTACGTGTTGAAACCAAGCAATGGTTGCTGTCGCCGCACTCTACGAGCTGAGATCCGGGCAAAACCCATGGTGCCTGAGCGACCGTGCAGCCCCTGGGCCCTCAAAGCAAATCTCCGAGCACGGAGTCACGGGTAGGGCCGGTAGGGCGCTGACCAAAAAGAGCTGTGCAGATGCAGACCTTGCAGTGCCGGTGCAGAGATCCCTGTCTCAAGTCAGCTGGCTGCCGCTAGCTGCCGTGCACAAAGCGTGCCCTAGAGCTCCCCTAAGGCGGGGGCACGTGAGCCAGCTCCTGGTGAAAAGTCCGCAAGGGTCCACTCTCCTGAAGCAAGCCAAGCCAGGGGGTTTCTATCAGCATTGCTTTGGCTTGACGGGACTGCTTTGGCACATCGTCCTATAAGGAAGGAAGAGGTCCAGTACATGGACGAGGGCACCGATGCAAAGAAGGCCTGCGCCGCGGAATCGACAGTACACTGCTTCGGCACGTCTGAAGCTGCTAAGCCGCAAGCAAAGGCACCTGGGAGGGCGATGTCCAGGAGTTCTCCGTGAAAACGAAGAGGCTCGAGATCACCACCCAGATTTGAAGCGACATGAACACCGGCACCTTACTTACACCGCGACACTACCGGATCGGCACCCGGAAGCACGCAAGTACTCACCTGCCCCCCCATCCCAACAACAGCTCGCATGCCGAATATTGCCGAATCTCTTGGTTGAAACAGAATTCGGCTAGCTTGGTCAGCATCTTTGCCTTCACACACTCCTTTCACACGAACGAGGGGACGGAGCGTGTCACGTCTGGTCAGAACTGCAACACATTCGTACCGTCACCGTGAAAAATTTCTGTTCGCCACACCTGCAGCGCTTCAATTCCGAATCGCATTTTGGAGGGCATACAAATGCCCTGAAAAGCACTCATACCGATGTCTGTCCACATCCTCTGTGTCTCCGTTGAATGGAGTGTTTATGTGTTCGTCGTGGGTCTCACATGCTTCAAGTTGTTGGTGCAAGAAACTCGGACTGTACATCGGGCTCCCATGACTGCAACGAGTTGCATGCTCAAGCCGTCGACGATTAGACGCATGCAGGTTCAACCGTCCAAACAAAACGTTGCGGTGGCTGAATTGCAAAGCCTGCAGCTCTTGTGGCCGCATTTGAGGAGGAGCCATCCGAAGCTGTGTACGAGTGCGAACATGTTCAAGGCGTCCCAGTCTACTGCTTTGCCTCACAGACTGCTGTCTGAGACCCCCACCGCGAGAATCGGGCCTACCACAAGCACTCACATCTCGAAGCCTTAATTCCTAGGTCAGAACTGCTCAGGGGCAGACCTGTAGATGTTACCCCTCGAATGAAGACTTGCACCTCTCAGCAGAAGCTTCTGAGCGTCCCTTGAGGTGCAACCATGTCTTACCTCAAGGTCGCTCGTCTCAATTCAAAAACGCTCAGGTACAATATGCCGACCAGGGGCGTCATCCTTCCACTGGCGCCAGAACAGGATACGTAGAACTCGGATCCTAAGCGAAGCTTTTCTGTCAGGTCCAGATCCTAGTCATACTGCCACGTAGACCAAAGTACGAAAGCTCAAGCAAGGCTTCCAACCAAGACATAATTACCAGGCCCAAAAAGCAGAGCAAGCCAGTACCGCAGCACAGCACACATAAAGCATTCCAGGAACACCTCACCTCACCAACATACACTAGGGAAAGTCCACGATCACCGAAGAAGAGCTGCAAGTGCTGAGAGACTCCCCCTGGCTCCTTCTCGATCATCTTGCGGGAATACAACTACCCCGCCTTTATCACGCGTGCCGTAGACAAGGTGGAATACCAGCACAGTGGAAAGAAGTGCTAATAGCCTACTTAACGTCTTTCATAAAAAGATTGGCAGCGCTGTAACAGAAGCGACTAGCAGATGCTCATGGGTCAAAGTAAACAGTATTCGTATTACGACGCCTGCAGGACTGCTCCGCAAAGACTGGCCACCCCTTTCAAATCGTACTCTTAAACTAGAAACAAGCTTGCGAAGAGGTTCGCCACTCCAATCCATACCCCTGTGCGTCTTTCTGCACAGTGGCTCGGACGGAACAAAATTGTAGGGTACTCCGCACACGGGTACCAGACCCGGATGCCCATGAAGTCCTTACCCTTTTGTGATGGTTGTGACAGTGCTCCTCCACGACGTGGACATAAGACTTAGAACCCAAGGAACTCGGCAAAATCCTTGAAGTTGGTCAATAGCTACGTCAGCTACGTAAGCCGGCGACTCAGAGTACACAGACGGTACTTTACTCATAATTGTCACAGCATCATAGCTGGAAAGTATACACCGCGGTGTCCAGGTCGAGGCTACGTCATATGGTCTTCAAGTCGACCTTGCTTGAAAAACAAAGCTGCTCCGCCATGCCACTCATCCCATTGAGACTTTTTTGCTGACAACACAGAGGTAAATACAACAGACGAAGCAGAAATATCTAGGACGTCAAGTACCTCGTGACAAGACCTAGTAAAGTGGCCACAGCCGCAAGAGCAGCCCAAGCTCACCCCGCCTTTAAAAAGCTCCAGCACATATGGCAGAGTCGTTTTCCCCCGCGATCAAATCCAGAACCTTCCACACCTGTTGTGTCTCGGCATAACTGCATGGCCTAAAAAACTACCCTAACCAGAGAAAAACTGTACTTCCGTGTTCTGCGTAGGCAATTAAAACTCAGACCTCTTCCTGTTCCAGAATCCTCAACCACAGGTTATGGCTGACAGCGGGACACCCACATGCCCCGTCCCAGGCACGACTCTCTCGACAGCTTCAGCCGCTTATCCAAGCCACGACAACTCCACTCAACCTGCACATGCACCATGTAGTCTTCTCACTGGGCTATAAGTAAGGACCGCATCAAACACAGTAAATCAAGGAACACAGGACATCCCACCCGTTATTGGTTCGAGCTCCCAATAACTTACCTCAGCCACGAAGAAAAGTGCGCTCCAATGAGGACATAGAACGGATTTCTTAGAAATCAAGCAGACACTCTAAAATAGCAATTACCTCACACGGCGATCGCCCGGGTATGCTCCTACGCACGCATCACGTATTTTCCCGATGTGCAGAAAAAACAGTCGGCAGCGTTTGGCAAGTGCGCCGGGGGCTGCCTATTGCTGAGTTTCGCACATCTTCATTGCTTTAAGAGGCATGTCCAACGCTTCGAGGAAGTCTGACCTGGCAACGCTCACAAGGCTCGTTCGAAAGCTTCAAATTGTCGGAACTGATGGGTTTTAAGGGATCGCCGGTAATCTGAAAAACGCCAACGCCCAGGCATCCCAGGCCCAACAGCCCAACATCTTCAAGCACAAAGTAGGCTTCGAACTCTCCGAGAGGGCTTCAATGGGCTTCAAGGTCTCAGGGATAATCCAGGGATCGGCGTAAACGAGCCGGTGCTGGCACTTCGGCATTCTTTCCACAGGAAGGGCCCTCGCCCCCACTGTAGAGCTCGGCCATGACTGCCACGATCGTGGCAAGCCCGGGCAGCAAGCAGATGAAATCCTCTGAAGATGCAGGTCAGAAAGAACGTTCTCACTTTCTTGCCCCTCTCAGTGCATCCAGGTGACGACGGTGCGATAAAAGTACCATCGCTTTCCTTCACCTCAATACAATCAATCGCTGTGCTACATACAAGCCAAGTTCTTGAAATCACAGGCGGATCCTTCCAAAAAACATGCAGTGTGTCTGCTCTTCATACACGCATGCCTCACTCCTGGTCGCAGGAGGTTCAGAAAGAGAGAGGCAGCAGCGGAACGGCAACGCCCTCAGTGCAGCCTCGGCACTGCCCTTGCCCGCTCGAAGAGCGCAGACCAGCTCTGCTGAAAAGATGATGAGACACACTGCCTGTACCCGCGGGATGCGTGCAGGGCGATGATGCAAGTGGATTCTGCTGCCTCGAATTTCGCTTGCATCTTTTGACGAAATAGCTCGTCGCATGTTAGCGTCCCCTTTGTTGGCCGCTCAACGACCTCTGGCAGCGAGCAAAGCCTGAGTGGAGGGAGCTGTTCTGCAGGGTCCAAAAACCCCGTGGACCCTGGCTTGCATCTAGATCTTCTGCATTCCCTCATCAAACAAGCCGGACATTTTCGAGCCACGACCTAGTTCTTTGTTGTCGTGCTTCTATGCACGGTGCTGCACGAAGGAGCTTATAGAACTTCCAAAACAAATGTGAGCGACAAATGTGAGCGGACATGAAGGAACTACATGCTGAGACGCTTTTCTGATGCTCCTCGTGGTGTAGCAGCATCAGGTACAGCCCTCTTCAACACAAAGACGAGAAGCGGAAAGGCATTCCTACAGACAAGCCAAGCGGCATGTTAACACACAGGTTGACAACGAGGGTGATCTGAAAGAAACGCTCCCAAGGGAATGCTCTCCAATCTCGCCACCATCTTCTGGTGACCTCAGTCACAAGCGAAGGAATTTTTCTTGACTCTGAGACGCAGAATTCGCCTAGGCGGCCGAGCAGCGACGTCGCCAGGCCTAGAGGGCCTCCTGGAGCCCTCTGTTTGAGTCTCGACACGGCATGAGCCTGCAAGTGCGACTGCAAATGCGACATAGCAGGCTCCACTTCACTTGGCCCCTAGCCCGCCTTGTTCAATCGCTTGCTTCTTTGCAGCTTGCCTTCGCCTAGCAAACAGTAAGGTGCGCAGTGAAATAACAAGCGGAGAACGAGGCAAGCCTCCAACTGCGCTGAATTCGTGTCACAACCTGGCAAATATGGGAGTGCTCTGGCGATTGCCGTGTTTTTGTTCAAGCCCGCACCTCTATTGCTAACAACATCCGACGCTCCACTGCTTTGGCCAAAGGGTCCTACGAGAAAGTGCCACTGATGCTCGAGCATGTGAGAACGTGGGCAGTCAGTGTCCTCGACGGCCTCGTTCGCCAAGTAGTTCACCTTGTGCGAGCCAAGGAGTCACAAGGGCAACACTGTGCAAACTCGAGGCTCGCACCATGCTGGAGCTGAAAATTGCAGTCCACACCACGATGGCACATGTACCGACCACCAGCCCGACAATCAGCAGGATCCTGGCGAAAGCTCTCGTCAAGCCGGTCCCCCAAAGCAGCTAGGCAAACAATGGGTGTTCTTGTTTTCCACATCAAATGGCAAGGTAACACCACGGGGTTCGCACTCCCGACGCAGTGCAGTGCGCACGTACATACATGTCCTGGGGTGCGAATCGCGCTCTTGCGATAGTGTGATGTGCATTTACATTTTGGAGTCATGGGGTGGTCTCGGGAGCCTTAGGTGCTGCTGGCGTGGTGCTCAGGTGTGTAGGGCTTTCGGGGGCTTCCAAGCATCTATTCCACGGATCGTTCGAGAAAGGAGGCTTCCGAAAGCTTTGGTCTCTCCGATGGCGAACACGCGATCCGGTGGCAAAAAAGAAGCGAACCCATGGTACAGATCATGGAAGGCCGAAAGACCTCCAGCAAACTTGTAGCAAAACGCTGCTGAAGGTTTCAACTTGCAAAATCTGCACCACGGCATGCGACAGCAGGATCAGGACACTTGACGCGTAAATCAAGCGTGAGCTGAGGGACTTGGCAGCGAAGGTGTACTTTACGATGGGATAGTCGCCAGTCAGGTGCAAAAGACTGTACCTGCACAGGAAGGCTTCGATCATCCGACCAGGCATCAGACGAGATTCGGCAAGTTTTGCAACAGTCGGACACAGGAGGTGCTTGTAAGTGATGTGCTCAGTGAAACAGCTGCTTTCACAAGCCTCCTTCTTAAGATGGCGACGGATGCTTCTGTTGTGATACATCCAGCAAGCCGTCCGTTTGGGCACGGATGGTCAAGCATCCTCGCTCGGTCAGCTAACAGGTAAAGGGCCAGATGACCAGCTCATTCACTGAGCTTCTCTATTGCAATCCACATCGATTTGGACCGCGACCAAACGGACGGGCACAGATGCTCGGCTGGGTGCTCTTTGCATGAAACTGTCAGCGAGCCAGACTTGATGACATTGCAGAGTTCGGTTGAAGCGTGCCGACGCGATGCCGCTGCTGCGCGCGATGAACTTCTACGTCACAACAGACTCACTACTTGTATCTTCAAGGTTGAAACCTCAGTTTATGTCCTTCTCCCGTCACAACATGGTTCAAATGATTGAGCTTGGCTGGTAAAGCTCGTCTCCAGATTTGCAACCTCGACTTTCCACTCTCGTTGTCCGAAATTGCTTCCACGTGAAACAGGACGAAAAGAGTTGTCACACATGCAAGTTGAACCTGCTTGTTCAACTTGAGCCGTGGTCAAAATCCTTCAGCCATCCTGCTCTTATCTGCCGTGCTACTGGCCTGCACTTTACAAGGAATGCTTCATGGCCTTCTAGACGGAGCGCACACAAGCCACAGCCCCACCACTGAAGTGACCCTCACGCCCCAGCACCGCAATTCCAGCCGACATGGGTTATGGTGACTAGAACCTGGAACGCGTGGGGTCCTTTAGGCGCCAACGCCGGTGGCTTCGGGGGGCGGCGCACTGCATGGCCACGAGGTAGTCGCCGAATCGTTCCGATTGCTGCATCGGCTTTATTCGCTTGACCTAACGAACTCGCAGGGTCTGCAAAGCCATCACCGAGCCCCAGGCTTGGCAAAATGCGGTCTGGCTGCTATGGCCTCGGGATCCTGGCCCGATGCTGAAAGCTGAAAGCACTCTACCACAAGATATCACAAGTGTTCGTTGTGTAGCTTACCGCTAGAGGGCACTTCTTTCAGCAGATGTTAGACATGGGTAACACCATGTAACACCAGATTCTGGATGCATGGATCACCGATCCCTGCCGTCAAAGCTGCATGTCTAGTCTCTTGCGCGCACACTCTCTTGCGTGCTTGCTAGACCGACCTCTGCCGGCTGGACTTGCGCACCAGCGATGGCCAGTTTGGGATTGTCCATCTCCGCGAAGTGCAGAAGCATGGCGTGAGTGTACCACACCTACCGAAGGCATCACTGATCACTGAGTGTCACGGCATGTTTCGAGTGACATACATCAGAAGCCAGGAAGCCACAACGAGAAAGTAGAAGCTCTTGATCAAAGGCCACCGGGCAATGAAGATCACCTGCCCACTGCACTGAACACTGTGAGCGGTGGCAGCACCGCTCGGGAAGCCTTCCGGACCGCGCGGACAACTCCGAAATAGGACCTTCACAGCAGCAAAGCGTTTCTCGGCCTCTCGGCATCCTGCATCTCTGCACAGCTGCATCGCTAGGCTTCAGGCCCCACGGAGACCAGCCGGGCGAGTCGCAGAGGCACGACGGCTCCCAGAAGGATCCCGCGGAGTCGCCATTTCTCCCATGTCTTCGGGTTGTGCAACGCGTCCTACCAGTAGCAGCACTTGCCCCAAGGCCCCAAGGCGGCTGAAAGAGGCGGATTCCTCTCGATATTGTGCCGGCAGCGACCAGATCAAGCCAACAATCGCGAAGAGCTCCGCAAGGCCCAGCTCAGAGACCAAGTGGCGCCAGCCTTGCGAAGACCGAAGAGCTGTCGAGTCCATCTCGTTGTTTGCACCAACAAAGCACAAGGCATCTGAGCTCCAGGGCCCAGGGCGATGCACCGAAGAATGAACTCCAGGATGAAGAAATTCAGAAAAAGCGTGTCAACCCTTGCTTCAATCATATCGACCTTTGTGCAAAAGAACTTTCAGCACTGCACGTGAAACCTTTGCGCGCTTGGAGATACCACTCTCCGTATCTCTCCGTCAACCGAAGACCGACGCCCAATGCAATAAACCACAGATCAAAAGCCCGCGCTGCAACTGCAACGTCCAAAGGCTATACTGTTATACTTATACTGGAACAGCACCGGCCCTAACTCAGCAGGGTGAATTCCTGAATCAAGGTATCTGCGTTCCAAGAGGGCGGCAGCCAATCCACGCCAACATCACTATGTCTTCTGCATGCTGAGGCTTCCACAAGGCTGAAATCTGAAACACGTATGCTAAGACCGTGATATTGCACGAGTGTCAGTTCGCAGCCCTGACGCAAAGCCATCGGAAGCTGCTGCCAGTTGGATGCTGCTCGCGACTAATTTTGTCATGGCACCCAAACCAGAAACCTCCGACATTCTTGTGGGCTCTTGGTGCTGAGAACGTAGTAAAAGACGACGTTTCTGTTCAGCTCCCTTGGCCGACATCCCACTTCGGCGTTCATGTACTGGCTGTTTTCCATCAACGTCACCTCGACGCCAGACGCCAGGGCATTCACTGCAGACCGTATCTACCGTACTGGTATCGCTACAGTGACAGCCCCATAGCAGCATATCATAATGTCACAGCATGCAATCGGGGGGCGACTGTGAAGATCAGAGATGCTACCAGCGACACGTGCTTGAACAGCTGAAATTTCCAAGGCCTCGTCTTGATCTGGTCAAACTCCGCATGACAGCCGTGACAGAAAGCGAGCCGCCGACCTTTCTTCTCGAAGAACTCCTTGACAAAATCCAGAGACAGCTACTACGTAACGGCTGGGGATGGCACTGATGGCACTGGCGAACAGTCCGAGTGTGGAACTGGCCCGATGATACTGTGTCTGCTGCTGCAAGCCTCATCTAGCGATGGGGGACAGGAGGCAGACAACGCTGTTCCGTTGTGGTCTCGACGAAGCCTAGGAGCCTTTCCTCAGCCTCTGCAAATGTGCGTAAAGCAGGCTGAATAATTCTTTGCGCCAGGTTGGAGCATCGTCAGCCGGTTCCATCTCACAGGGGATGCAAAGTGCGACATTGCAGCGGAATTTGCAACCTGCACGACCTTGAGCTGCCATAGATCCCCTTCCTCAGCCTTCAGATGCTCCACCTAAAGCTGCAGAATGCACATGCAAAACCTGCATTGACACAAAACGCTCGTGAGGCGACGTTGTGTTCGAAGAAATCACCCAGCAGCTGCTTCATGAACTCGCCAGAGAAAACCTTATATGCAGAAGAATCAGGTGAATTCACGGGTTATGGCTATTCACTGCTACAGAATTTGCCAAACTTGTCTGCAGCAAGGATGGTTTGGGCACATAGTTTTAAGGACGAGCGTCCATCATTGGAACTACGACGATGCTCACTCCAAAAAGGACCACAAAACATCCCACTGCCTTTCCTGGCCACGTGAAATCGCCTCAGCCATGTGAGCTCAACGGAACCCTTTCTTGAGGGACGCCGAGTTGACTTATTGACTTTCATGCCGCGCCCTTTTGCTGTCCAGGGTTCAGAAAACCCATTCGCCGTTCAAGAAAATTGAAGAAGCCCAGATGGATCGCAACAGGGACCCATAGTTCAAGTGAATTTCCAGATCCGGATTGCGGAACCTTGAGCAGAGGTGCGCAACCGTCGGGATTGATCTGTTCCCCAAGAATGTCGCCGACTTTGTGCTCAGCTGGGATGCTCCGATACGAAGAGAAGATGGGCACCAAGGAACCAAACGAAAATGGCAACCGCACCTGCACATGGAAGATCCGGCACTTCGTCAAGTCTGTCCGACAAGTGTTGCACAAAGCTTTGTTTTCATCTAGCTGTTGCACATGTGCCGTCATGTGCTTTCTGCAAACGAAGCCTGTAGCGGCCTCAACACGACAAACGACTTTGTTGAAAGAAGAGTACTTGCCTGTGGTTGCCAGAGCTTTCCGATGTTTACGCATAGCTTCCAAAACGAGCCGAAACGGATGATCCAACCACTTCTCCAGCAAGTAGATCCGCCAAAGACTGCACAGGCCTCAGTCAGCAGCGAGTGGTAGAAGTTGGTAGCAACGCATGATACTTTAAATAATCGTCACTCGCCTCCCCTCCGGGCTTCCCTCCTCTCATGCTCCTGTTGCTCTTGCTTCTGCGCTGCTGCTAGGAACCAAAAACAGAAGGAACACGATTGGCGCGAAAATCTCGAGAGCAACGATTGTTGCGATTGTTCATCCGATGAATAATGGCTCATGACGTCCTACGTGCATCTACGAATCTACGTGCATCACTCTGGAGCTTAGCTGGCCGGAAATTCCCTCCATTTCTCCAAGGCTTTGGATGCCCCAAACTTCAGCCAAGGTTTGTTCTTAGTGTGAAATTCAGAAGCAGATGCAACAGACACGACAGCCATGTACAAAGCGGATGCTGTGTAGCCCTTAGCTTGCTCGAGACGAAAACGAAAGTTGATTGCCAGCATGTCGTTTGCCACCTGGTGACTGTGGAGTCATCAGGTGGTAGCGGAGCATTCGTTGCTCTTGAAGCGGGCGGCTGTTCGCAGCCGTATGCGACAGGAGCAGGCTGTCAACCTCGATGAGTCTCGGCGACAAAGATGATGGGCGCGATCGGAAGCTTGAGATCTTTGATGGGAGTAACCCGGCGAACTACAAGAAGTGGCGCCGTCGGGCTGAGCTGCATCTGCTCTCGCTTCCTTCCACATTTTCAAAAGAAAAGTGGGGACCCAAGCTCTTGGAATACGTGCATGGCGAGGCCGAGGAGACATTAGAAGATTTGTCGATCGAGAAAATAACAAAAGAAGACGGATACAAGCAGATCCTGGCGATTCTCGACGACAAGTACAAAGAGAGACAACAAGATGAGCTCCACCATGCCCTCAAGGAGTACTTCTACACGGTCACCATCAAGCAAGGCGAGACATACAGGAACTTCCTTGTACGTCTGGACACGGCTTACCGCAAGCTGGTGCAGCATGGCGTGGAGTTGCCATCAGAAGTGCAAGGATGGTTCTTGATGCGCAAGTTGCATTTGGAGTCATCTGCTGAGGCAATGATCCTCACTTCCACATCCGGCTCAATCAAGCGTGAGGATGTGCTGAAGGCGGTCAAGGCCATCTTTCCGAACGGCAAGGGTGGCAATGTCAAGAAGAGCGACGTCTTCGTGGCCGAAGACCCGGATGCGACGGAAGCGGAGGTCACGCGATCTCAGGTCACGGAAAATGACGATGACGAGTTCCAGGAAGTGCTGGAGGCTGTGGCTGAGCAGATCCAGATGGAAAGCGAGTACGAGGACGACGATGCTCTTGAGGTCTTTGAGACATACCGTGAAGTGCGGAAGAAGCTCCAGGAGAAGAAAGTCAGCCGCGGATTCAAGGGTAAAGGCAAGGCTGGTCAGGCTCAGCAGCAACAGTGGCAACTGAGCGGTTCGGTGAGGGGACGGATTGAACTCATCAAAAGTCGTACGAAATGCCACAATTGTGGCCAACTGGGGCACTGGAAGAAGGAGTGTCCTGCCCGCACCAAAAAGAACAGCACCGGGGTCAATCAACAGGCGACGACTGGGCATGAAGTCCACTACACTGACTACCAGGAGGTCTTTGACGAGTACTCTGGTGGCATGGCGGCTGAGGTCTTGATCAACACGGCGGCCCAGAGCACCAAGAGTGGTAAGGGTAGCGGCAAGAAACATGACAAGCAGGACACTTGGCAAGTGATGGAAGAGCTGGGACAGGTCTGGCGAGTACACCGCAAGCCGAGGAAGGGGCTTTTTGCTCCTGAAGATCCGAGCTGTCCTGTGGAGGTAAAGAAGCTGACGGCCAGGCGTACCACTGAGGTGCGATACGATGATGGCACCACGGAGGTGAGGGTTGATGATCTGGGAAAGGGCGTTGATCATCAAAGCCTGGGCCGGACTTGGACCGGGATCACGAAATTCGAGGTTGCAAACAGGCATGGCGCTGACTCCAAGGTGGCAGACGAAGATGCAATCTATGACACCAACATCAGCGAGGAAGTGTTGATCCAGTTCGAGCAGCAAGTTTTGAGTGAAGGGCTTGAGCCGAGAGGTAATGATCGTTCTGAGGTTCTGCTGTGCGAGCAGGGCTCAGTTTTTGAACACGCTGTGCCAGACACGGCCTGCAGGAAGTCGCTCGTTGGCGAGTATACGCTCCAGGGGTTGCAGCAGTGTCTGAGGGGTAGGGGATACAGCGTGAAGTTCCGTAAAGAAGTTAATGATTTTCGGTTTGGCAATGCCGGCGTGATCCGTTCAGAGTGGGTTGCCAAGATCCCGCTGTGTTTCGGCGGCCAGACTGTTAATTTGCATGCAGCGGTCCTCCCTGAGGGAGGCAAGCACACACCCCTCTTGCTGTCTAAGGAGTGTTTGAAGTGGTTGGGTTGTCGATTGGATATGGTTAACGATGAGGCCCATTTCAGTAGGTTCGGATGCAGGGTGAAGCTCCGAGAGACTGAGCGAGGGCACTACGCCATTCCGGTGCTTCCCGCATCACGATCGGACGGTGACCATGTCGGAAGCCAAGAGTGCTCAGGATTTGCAAGGCAACGGGAGACTGAGGTGCCCAGCAGCTGTTTGGAGTGTCGCCATGTCCAAAGTCGAGGTGAGCGAGCTGGCTCGAAAGATGATGACCAGCTTGAACATCGACGAGAAGGGTGCCAAAGTGATCATCGAGAAGCCCGACCTCGACGACGCGGGAGACAAGGAAGAGGACGAACCGGGACATCCCATACCGGGCACGATGACCATGACTTGCGGCAAGTATGGCAAGGCCAGGAGGGATGTGAGCAGCATCTACCAGATGGACAAGGGTTACGTGCAATGGGTGAGGGCTCACATCAACACGGAGTCCGCAGAACCGATGAAGAAACTCAGACTTTACATCGAATGCCGCGACATCAAGAAGAGTGCCAGGCTGGAGCAGGAAGTGCTGTCACAGCCGACCGTCAAGAACGAGCACATAAAGCCCAAGGGGTACAAGACGGAACCGAAGCAGAAGGCAACCACCAAACATGCGAAGACCGTGGAGGAACAGAAAGAGCACATCAGGGTGAGTTTGATGGCATTGAAGGATTGGTTGCACACGGCCACCGAGCAGAGGCAGGGCGAGGCGACGATCAAGGAGATCACGGATGTCATCGCAGTGCAGGAGGCCAAGCTGACCGAGCTCGGGAGTGGCACGAGTTCCAGCAAGCGTTCCCTGGGTCTCCCCAGTCAGAGCATGGAGCTAGAAGGGGAGGGTTGGGAACAAGTGGCGGCGACGGAGCCGAGCGCCAAGGCTCAGCGCATGTGGGCTCAATTGACCGGGGGTCTCACGATCCGCGATCAGCAGCGTCGCGAGAACATCAAGCGCAGCCTCAAGGAGACGGGCAGAGTACTCCAGCAGACTTCACGCTGAGGGACATGTGCCAAAGTCTCGAAACCATAGAGCACAAGCTCCGTAGCTGTGATGTGTTGCATGTACAGCTGGGAGAGAGTTCTAACGTATTTTCTCCTTCGCGTGTCCTCACGACCGCGACGAAAGTGGGTTTGGCCTGCGGTCTGACCTACAACCTGTCAAATGGATACAACTTTCTCAAAGCGGATGTTCGCAAACAAGTGTTGCAGGAACTGCGTGTTGCCAGACCAGGCATGATTATCATCAGTATGCCTAGTGAGCAGAACTCGAGTCTGGGTGGCATCAGGCGCTGTCGAGGGAGTGCGACGTGGATTCAGAAAGTGCACGAAGCTAGGATCCTCCTGAGATTCGGTATGCAAGTCGCTAAGCAACAACTTGAACTAGGTAACATGTTTCTGTTTGAACAGCATGCCGGAGCCAGTTCGTGGAAAGAGCGGTGTGTGGAGAATGTGCGTAGGCAGACTGGCGTGCAGTGCATCACGTGTGATTGGGACGTTGGGCAGACCAGAGTTCGAGAGAGTGGAGAGCGACAGCAAAGAGGAACACGCATCATGTGCAACAGTGAGTGCATTGGCAGTGCTTTGAGTCGGATCTGTGCCAACAGTAGTGAACAGATTTCCACGGTAGGTGACAGCAGGCAGGACAGCACGAAGCAGTCAAGCAATCATGTTTTGTCAGAGCAGGATAGGTTGTGCTGTGCGGTGCTTGAGGGTCTTGTGAGAGAGCGAGAGAAGAGAGGAGAGAGTGCCATTCAGTTTTGGGTTCACATGACCGAGGACCTTGCCGACAATCAGAGTGAGAGTAAGGTCATGCGTGTGTTGCGAAGGATACATGAAAACCTAGGCCACCCGTCTCAGGCCAAGTTGATTGCGATGCTCAAAAATGTGAGGGCATCCGAACGTTGTTTGAAGTTGGCGAAGGGTTTGAGCTGTCCTACTTGTGACGTTGGTGGCCGAGCGAAGTCGCATGGTGTGGCCAAGCTTGAGCATGCGGGGCGATTCAATCAAGTGGTTGCGTTGGATACGTTTGAAATCGAACTTCCATGGCGAAAGCTCAAAATGCTAAACGTGGTCGATGCCGCCACAAGGTACCAGATGGTGGTGCCAATGTGGAAAGGAGCGGATGCCAAGCGAACTCGTGTTGCATTTCGTCGCTATTGGAAACGTTGGGCAGGTGCGCCAGTCAAAGTGTGGACGGATGGCGGGCCGGAGTTCTCCGAACACTTCACGTGTGCCATGGAGGCTGATGGCACTTGGCATGAAACGACGGCCGCGCACAGCCCTTGGCAGAACGGCATGTGTGAGCGACACGGTGGTGCTTGGAAAGAAGCGTTTAACAAGGCTCTTCTTGGTGTTGTGTTGGAATCGAAGATGGAAGCAGAGGAGTTGTTTGATCAGTTGACTCAGGCACATAATACATTGGTGAGGCGTGATGGATATAGTCCTAGTCAGCATGTGTTGGGTGCCGAGTTGCGAGTTCCTGGGTTGATGGGTTCAGGTGATGACAATGCTGTCCTTGCGTCGGGCCTTGCAGTCGGCGAGCCGGCTTATGAGCGCCGACATGCCATCAGGCAGGCAGCGCGTAGAGCCTTCGTGGAGGCAGATCACGAGGCCAAGTTGCGTAAGGCAGCAGCTCACCGAACCAGGCCAAAGAATGCGGAATTGCAGATGGGTGACTTAGTGTACATCTGGCGCAAGGGGCTTGGTGAGCAGAAGGCGCACTGGCATGGACCAGGACACGTCCTGGGAAGCAAGGGGTCGCGTGTCTGGGTTGCTCAAAGTTCCAAAGTATACCGTTGCTGCCCTGAACAGGTCAAGCGTTTGAGTGAGGAACAAGAGAGCTTGTTGAAACTGTTGCCGCAGGAGTTGCGCGTGTGTCGTGATAACTTGCGTGAGCGTGGTGCTGGAAACATTGTTGAGCTTGACAAGAGAGAGTTGCCACCTCATGATGAAAGGGATCATGTTGACGGCACAGGTCGTGACAGCGACAGCAGTGTCGGAGGATTCACTTCCGATCCCAGTGGCGAGATGGCAGAGCAGAGTCAGAACCCACTTCCAAGCAGTGAAGGGGCACCCATGCCTATGGAGGTGGATGATGAGGACCAGCCCTTGAGAACAAGCTTGACGGAACAAGGACTTGAGAGCATGCAAACGGTGTCAGGACGGCTGCAAGGGGCAGCTGCAATAAACTCCGACACAGGTGTGACTGTGCCCCCTCACGGAGACGACCAAGACATGACGACTCAGGCGCAGCATCATGGCAGACAAACCAGTCCTCAGGAATCAGAGCCACAAGGAGAGCCTGACGTTGAGGCCGTGCGGCCACATCGTCATGCTGAGACTGGGGGCTATGGTCCAATGCGTCAGCCAAGTGAGCTTACAATGGCCATGCGCAGGAGTTTGCGCGTGCTTGACGAAGGAAGACCCTCGCGAGCCTCGGCTCCGAGGGACGTGATCATGGATGAGTCCGGCGATGAGGCGTTGATGATTGAGCAAGCGGTTGTGTCTGAAGAGGTGCTTGTTGCGGAGATCAAAAAGAAGAGAAAGGCCGAAGTCACTGAGAAAGAGTTGACCGCTCTTGAAAAGGCCAATCTCCCAGGCGCCAAAACTACAGAGTGGGCCAAAATGATCTCGACAGGCTCTGTGCGTGTGCATGTTGGCGCGGAAGCGACCAAAATGATAGATGAATGCGGCCCTGACAGAGTGTTGAAGTCCAGATTTGTGATCACGAGGCCAGACGATCTGATGAAGGTGAAGCAGGGGCTTGTTAAGGCACGGTGGTGCATAAGAGGCTACCTTGATCCGGACATCTTGGATCTCGAAACTGCCGCCCCAACCTTGTCACCTGAAGGATTGTCGACAACGTTGCAGTTGATGGCAAGTAAGCGATGGCAGCTGGGTATAGGAGACGTTGAAGCGGCGTTCTTGAGAGGCGATGCCATTCAACGTCAAAAGGGCCGAGTGCTGGTCCAGTTGCCAGATGGCGGCATACCCGGAATTACACCGGGCAGCATCATTGAATTGCTCAAGCCGGTGTACGGCTTGGCGGACGCCCCGAAGGCATGGAATGAAGCCATCACTAAGACACTCACTCAGCTAGGGTGCTGCCAATCACAACTCGATCCTTGTGTTTTCTATTATCATGATTCCAACAACGGAGCACCGGAGATACATGGAGTCATTGCTCTGCATGTGGACGATCTGATTTTTGGCGGGTCTCGGAATTTTCAGAAACAAGTCATGGATCAGCTTAGGAAGATTTACCCTTTCAAACACTTCAAAATGCGCGAGGGCGAGTTCCTTGGGCGACGAATACACCAAGATGACGACTTCGCCATTCATGTCAGTCAAAAAGATTATTCTGAACAGGTGGAGTGCATCCATCTGAGCAAGGATAGAAGGCGTCTGAGAGAACAGGCCGTGAATGAAGACGAAAGAAGACAGATGAGAGGAGCTCTGGGTGAGCTCAACTGGCTTGTGAGCTGTAGTCGCCCGGACCTTGCTGCACACTGTTCGCTGCTACAGCAAAAGGTTGCACAGGCTCGCGTCAAAGATGTAGTAGAAGTCAACAAAGTCATTGCCATGGCACGAGATCATGCTTCCTTAGAGGTCGTGATCAGACCATTGCCTGTGGAAGACGTGGAGTTCTGTGTGTGGAGCGACGCGTCATGGGCCAATGCCACCGAAAAGAAAAGTCAGGGTGGTTACCTTGTGATGGCGACGACGCCAGAGCTCAGAAAAGGGCGCTGGGCAACAGTGTCACCACTGAGGTGGAGATCATACAAGCAGGATTGTCAGGTGGCGTCCACGTTGGGCGCTGAACTTCTCAGCCTTTCCAGAGCGATAGCTGAAGCAAAATGGTTGCGATCACTGTGGACTGAAGCCAACAATAAAAGCTATGACCTGAAGAACAACGACAAGTGGTGTAATAAGATCCCCATCACGGTGTGTGTTGACAACAAGCCGGTATATGATCACTTGAATGGCCAGGTCCTGACGATCAAGGACAAACGCTTAGCAATTGAGATGCTGCTAGTGAAGAAGGACGTAGCTCAAGACAATGTGATCGTGCGGTGGCTTCCGACCTACCAGATGTTGGCCGACTGCTTGACAAATGCAGGAGCACCAGCAGCCTTGTTGAGAAGAACCTTGCGAGAAGGAAGAACGATCATCACTGAAGACGACAAGATCAAAACCTGGACGAAGAAGTAATGTATGTGTTTGTTATCGTCTGCAAAAAGACAGCTTTGTACATGCCATTTTGGGGGTGTGTGAAATTCAGAAGCAGATGCAACAGACATGACAGCCATGTACAAAGCGGATGCTGTGTAGCCCTTAGCTTGCTCGAGACGAAAACGAAAGTTGATTGCCAGCATGTCGTTTGCCACCTGGTGACTGTGGAGTCATCACTTAGCACATGCTCGGCTCGCGAGCTAAAGACTCATGGAGCAGATTCCGCTTCGTAACTCTTGTCCCCCGAGCTCAGACTTGGTGCGGTTTCACACAATCGTCCCAGGGACGGATCTCTGAATGCTCGACGAGGCGTCTGATATGATCTATCACGACCACATGTGGCTCGGGCTGCATTGTCGCTGTAGCAGCTGAAACGACCAAGCATGTCAGTAGACCAGGTGTTCTGAAGAGAAGTGCCATCACTGGAACGTGGGCTTTGGGAATTGCCAGTCAGTCTTTCCGGGAAACGTGTCTTGGACAGAGCGTGATGCATTGTTTTTCGACCGAAGCAGCGGTCAAGCTCAACATGAGTGGGCGAACCACAGCCTAGTTTAACGAGGGATTGAAGCGGCGTCTCACCACAAAACGGGGCATGTACTAGGCCCAGTGAATCTGCACCCGAAAGACAGCGGAGCGGTTGCCTCCCACGTGTGGCATCTTTCTCTCCGCCCCCTCGGCACGAGAAGCCGGCGACAGGGGCTGAGAAAGAAAGGGGGAGGAAACGGGAAGTTGTTGCACCAGTAAAGCCCTTGGCTCATCGAGGTAAATGCAGCACCGTCCACCTTCCCCTGCTCATGGTCGCTTCAAAGTTCTGGCCGTTTTGCCAGTAGAACATGACCGCACCGCAACGACACAAGAAAGGATCAACCACAGGCCCGGAGAAAGAAAGGGGCCCGCCATGAAGGCGGCACTAGCACAAGCTGGCATGGCAAACTCTGAAAAGTCGTCGATGCGGTAGCCTCTACCTACCCAATGCTACCCAAGGACTCGCCTTCCTGATGAGCCCTCCCCAAAATGGTCCAGTTCACGAATTGTGGTTGAGCCCCACGCCTTCCCGCTTTAGCAAGCGACGACAGGCTGGCCAGTCTGCTGAACCATTTGCTGCCTGCCCTCCCTGCCGCCACATGGTACACAACCCGAAAGTCTAGGCTGGTGAAAACAACAGATTTTGTTTCGCCAGCCGTGCACGCCGGCCAGCATCTCCAAGACAACATGGAAATGCTCCCTTCGCTTTGCCATGCAAACGCTGAGAGAGTGTTGCGCCACTTCCACAGGTGCACGGGGTAGGGAGAAGCCACAGGTCGTCTGTGCCAGTAAAGGCCATGATGCGGTCTTCTGCCCGAGATAGCACCTCTTAGCCACCATTTTCTTCGAATGCCCCTGCGGGTCTCACAAGATTTCTTTGGCGCCAGGATCTCGGCGACAATTCTGCCAACATTTTGGCTGGCGGTGGCCCCTCCGAGTTGGGCCATGAGCTGCCAATCGGGTCTTATCAGTGAGCTGCCCGGTGATCATCTGGCATGGTCCTCGAAGTCCTTCTTGATGGTCCGAACCAAAAGGCTTCCAAGAGCCTATTTCGCAAAGTGATCTTTTCACAGAACGTGAAGCAGGTGCGCCCACCAGCGTCGGGCCATGCATGGTGCTCTTCGTCACTCCTGTCCCTGAAGCACTTTGTAGGGAAAACCCAACTCCGTTATTGTCTTGCTCTACCGCTGCTACGACGGGCTTCCTGGCTGTCTGGACGGCGGCGCCTCGCCTGCAAAACCGGGGCATCTGAATCGCCTGAGATAGCGAATGCTGGCCAGTGCGCACGACCAGTTCGGCTCTTTCAATCAAGGGGGAAGCTCTGCTGGCAGATGTACAACAGGGGCCTTCTGAAGGCTGCCACAAAAGTGCTCAGCCTTATAAGCACGCATCAGCCTGACCTGGGCAAACGAATCGGGGCGAGTCCGCCCGCGGGTAGTTCGATGGCTGCTTCATTTTGCGACATCCAGCTGTCTGGTGCCCCTGCGCAACTGGATCCGGAGCCAGCTCCCGGCTTGCGAACTGGTGCCTACCTCATCCTGAAGGGATTCCACATCGAAATCAAAATCGGGTCTCGCCTTTGTTTCTGGGCTGGGCATAGGATTTTGCCCGCGAAGTTGGGAAGAGAAGTGGAGATACTTCTCCCTGGCCGTACCTGCCGGCATATTTTGCTCCTCAACTCTCACCAGAGGCATCGTTTGCGGATGTCCGGTGGAGTCGAGGAGCTTAAGCTCCGAGCGGCGGGGAGGTTATTCCGTCGCCTGGTCCTCCCGCTGGCTACGACTTACCTACCCTACAGCGGTCATCCTCCTGATGCAAAAGTTGATGTCGTGCTAAGTTGCGCTTGCATGCATTCTCACAGCCGCACGACAACTGGCCATAGCCTACCATAGGACTTACGGTCTGCGTCGCACCAGAGCCCAAAAGCATGGAGGTAATGATGCGCCTGCTGCCTGGGGGCAGAAAACAAACTTGTCCTGCGGCTCCTCAAGGCCATTCGCCACCTGCTCAAGAAATCCACAAAAGGATACAAAAGGATTATTGGCAAGAACGAAAACTGCACTGCACCCCGCCGCGACCACTCTGCAGCAATGGAAACGTATGTTGAGTTTGGTGATTGCGATTGACGGCAGGGCCGAGGGTTTCAGGGACGATGCAGCCTCATTCGCTTGCCGAGATGCGACCAACAGCAAATGAACGATGCCGGCCACGGAAGCAATGAAGTAGCCTGTGTGTCTCCTTGGAGCTGCGACGGACGTGCCCCATGCACTATCCGTCATCACTCGGCAGAGGCACCAAAGCGACATGTCGGCTGTGTCAAGGCCCTCTGCAGTGTCCACGCCTGCAGCCTGCTGACATGCGATGACATGCGACTGCTGAATGGAGGCGCCATTGGCACCTTGGGTGCAACTCCGGCGCCTCGCTGCTGTCTCCCCTTACAGCGACGGAACGGGCGGAGCTCGTGATCCTGTCGCTTGCACTTTGAGTTTGCGATTTTGGGTAGCTTTGGGCCACGTCATGCCCAAGAGTCCAGTCTGCCAGGAAGGCCGCTCCAATGGCTCCATCGACTGCTGGATAGGCCCAAGGAGGGAACCTCTGCGAAAGCGCAGTGCACCTTTCTCGCCGAACAATCTTCCAAAAGCGAGTACCTGGGAGTCCCATTGTTGTACCTGTACGAGGTGGTCACGCCATAGAAAAAGATCGATCCGAAACCCAAGATGGCCATGATCACCTTCAAACTGCAAGCAGGAAGTCATCGCTCGGAGAGAAAACTGGACGAAGCTGAAGGTACTGAGAAATCATGGTACTCATACATGTGTGTATGCAGCTGCAGGAATGAAAATTTGCCAACCCGACAGTGCCAAGAAGCCAATTACTCAGTTCCCTCTTGCCATTTGGTGTGTATGCTTGCTCAAAGCGGCTTCAGAAGATCGCTTAAATCTGATGAGGCACTGGATGGAGGTTGTCTTCCCACGTCAGGCTCAGGAAATATTCTTGCCATGAATGGAGAATGCGGCGCCACTGCTCCAGCACTGAGATGTTCGCCACTCTGACATCTTCGACAACTTCCACAACTGGATCCTCTTCCTGCCTTCAGAGCAGTTCAATGCGCTGAAACACCATTGAAGCCCGCCTGCCAATGATGTCTGCGGCCCAACGGCTCTTCTTCCTCCTCTTCCTCCTCCTCGTACTCGTCGCCACCGCCAGCTCCAGCAGCATTCGCCTCTTCCTCTTGCAGCTTGTTGTCTCTGGGATCCTGGAGGTGAATCGGCCAAACGCAGACAAGATTAATCAGTCCGGGCTGGTATGATTCTGGGCTGAAGTCGAAGGAATGTTCCGAAGCAGCCTGCTTTTTTCTATTTCTGCCGAACCGAAAGACCATCGAATCTTTTCGTCTGCTCTCGGACCATACTTCGTGCAGCTCTGCTTTACTGTGTTACAGCTGTGGAGAAGGGGGTGTCACACATCGATTCCGCAGCATCAGCACACATGCTTGGGGCGGCATGTCTGCGGGTCTGCCAAGCATTGCGGCCCTCCGAATCTAAGAGGTCCTTCCCGGACTCCAGACATTCCCAGGGCGCGGTTCAATTTCGGTTGACTGTTACACTCATGATCATGCGGATTTCCGCCACATCGCGTCCCCACGTGGCAGGATACCGTATCGTGCCAACTGTTTATTGCACGTGGACTGCTCTGCCTGAGTTGCTCTTGACAGTCGCTGCCTAGCTGTCACAGTCCCACAGGTCCTTGGCACATACTGCATTGGTAACTGCGCTGCCAATCCTTGCCAGCACGTGCAGTTTTAGACAAACCAGACTGCGCTGCTCGGAAGAGTGCGCAATAACACCCCGAAGCCACCAACCACGTCTGTGTCAAGCAGCATGCCCGCCACCAACGCGAAGACTGGAACCTGTCGTGGCTCTCGGTCTAAACTTTCAAAGGTCAGCACGCCACGACGCCACGATACTGAGATGACCACGCAAGCGACGTTCACGAAGATCACCAGCAGCTGCTCGTGGAAGTTGTCGAAGGCCTAAGAGCTCGAAGGCTCTGGAAACGCAGCGTGCGCATCTGCACATGCCAGGACCATTCCCATGCCAAGTCACAAGAGCCAGTGGATTCTTCTTGTAGAGGTTCAGCAAGGCAAAGAACATGGAAGATGGAATGGATTCAAAGCGTTGCCAAGAAGGAACGGCTGTTACCCACCTCTCGGGCTGATGAAATTCACGCATTTCGCTCTAAACATGTCACGATTACATTAAGACAAGAGGCTCGCTTGCACTGTTCTGGCTGTTCACTGCATAGTACAAGCTTCCTGCACCAGCAGGACACGACAAGACAAGAACATCAACATGCGAAGGAGCAATTATGTGCAGATCGTCCAAGGCTCCGATCAACACCCACATCACCAGACCAAAGCCACTCATTGCAATTAGCATTCGACGGTCGTCTCTGCCCTTATTCCGGTACAAGCAACAGTGCGAGTCAACACTTGCAGAGCTCGCACTCGCGACCTCATTCTCTGTACGGCAAGCAAATGCTTCTGCCTTTTGGTGCACTTGTGTCTGAGCACCGGGCGTCTCCAGCCTGCGTGAAGCCATGGAAGTTCACGCCTACGCCCCAGTGTCCCAGGGATTCGATCACACGAACGAAGGACAAGATCATCCAGTTCCAGTGGACGGCTCTGCAATACAAGAAGGAATAGGACGACAGCCCGACGGCCGCCTGAGATTGCACATGAATTCACATCCATCACAGAGCCGCTCCGGTTTTTCAAGAAAGAGCACCACACCAAGTTTTGTAATGTAACGCTGCAGCTCGGAAGCACTGTCAGCTATGGAGCTGACATCCGTCAAGAGGTACACCAACCACGCAAAGCTCCCGCTGCCACAGAATCGTGGGCTTCTCCTGGATGCTGCTGCCCTCACAGCCTCACCGGGGCTATGGGCTTGCACACCATGGAAGCAATTAGTTGCTTCAGGTGTCACATGGAAACACGACGCCTAAGCTGGCATGCGAACCTGAAAGAAGATCAGCAGGCAAATGGATCCCAGCAACCAGGCGTCATGCCAGTCCGCACCTTGGCCGAACCAAAGAACAGCATTGCTGGGCCTATATACAAGCTTTACTGGCAGAGGCTCTCTCACGAGGTGAAGCCATGCATCACTCGTGCAGGCATGGAGCAAAACTGGAAGATTCCGTGCCCTTGGGAAGTGGGAAAGTAAGTCTTCTGGCAGGGGCGGTGCAGGTCGCAACTGGGCTCATAGACACGACCGACTTGAGCACATGAGCAGCAAAGCATGATGCTTGAAGCAGCTGTCCTCCGTAGCAAGTGCATATATGGCCACATTGGAGATGGGTATCACGACCTGGAAAAATGCATCAGTTCCCGTTTCGCCACTGTGCTCGTGACATGATCGTTAACTGCCGTGTCTCGCAGGGGCCGAGTTGCAGTGCACACATTGAACACCATCTCAATGACTTTGGCAACAGTTGCCGTGGAATCTCCGTAGATGACGTTCACGACGGCCTCTGCCTCCATTCGGTTGATGTCGTCCTTCGAAAGCGTGGACGCCTCCTTACAATTTGCTCGCCAGGGAATGCACATGAAGACTCTCGTGTTTGCTGTATTCAGAGTTGAACATGCACAAAGCGAAATGCGAGGTGCCCGCGACTCGCCAAACATGTTCCTGATCTTGGGCCCAGCCAGGGTTGACCCCGCAAGCGCTGCCAGAGTCAGCGCCAGTCCAACCATCCAAGCCGCCTGCAAGCACACCTCAGCCGAGCTTGACATCAAGACAGCCTGACTTTTACGGTGGACTCACCACACTGGGCGTACCTTCTCGTAGGAGTCCAGGGACCAATGATCACACAACAAGGTAGCTTGCGGGTCGAAGATGCAAGGCATCGAGATTTTGAGGGGATCATTGGATACCTGACGTACCTCAGCAATGACAAAAGTTCCGAAGCAGCTGCGCACCCCAATTGCAGGACGACACCTGTAAGTCTGTAACGTTGGAAGCTTCGGTTGCTGAACCAATGTCCATGTGCTTTCCGAGCGGCTGCAGTCGGCACCGCAGTCCCATTGACGCTCTTTACAATCTTTCGGCATTCTTCGAGCTCCTTCATTCCCTGGAAGATCAAACTGATGTTGGGTGGAGCACCAGGTGCGTTTGAAGCTGCAACTGCTGGAAAGGCAAGCTGCATAAAGGTAGCTCTCTTTCTGGTGATCGAGCAGGGTTGAAGCCCCATAAGCCTTGAAGCATCAGCAGATCAGACCGCACAGTCTCCTTGGCCAAGTGGCCTTTGCAAAGAGTTCCTTGGTGTTCATCGGTTCGACCTTGGTGTATGGTCGGGAGCACGTCGTTTGATCAGGCATTCTCGCTGGTCAGGCTGCGACATTCCGGAGCATTGTGGCATCCTCGGAATGTGGTTGGAGGACACTCTGCTAACATATGTGCAGATGCGAAGTGGGTGACGCCGGTCGCGGGTGCCGCGAGTCAGTTTACGTCGTGCTGGCCAGGAGTCATTGTTTGTTTTTTCGGCTTTACAACCCTCTATACGGCAGTGACTACTGTATGGTTAATGTTTTCAGGTCGAGAATTGCATAGAATTGCTATAGCGGCAAGCCTTGTCATGGCCACCCTTGTGTCAGCACAGCCTTCTGCGCTCTCCAACCATCCGCGACAAACCAATCGGGGCACGTCATGTCACTGAAAGTCTGTAGCGTTCATTTGGCACAGTCTCATTCAGCAAAGTGGCACTTGAAAGGCAGACAGTCTCGTTGTTTGTGGCATTAACACAATCCACTGTTACATTTGTCGTCTCATTGACCTGCGACGAGGCGAGCGAAGTGCTGGGCGGGCTCATGAACAGTGGGCAGACCAGCAAAACAGCAAACGAAGAAACCCTCTGCGCAGGTTTGCACGAAACCGCTTTCGGGTACAGACTGCGGATGACTAGGGACTACATATGGCCTCGGCTGATGGCTTTTGTCCAACGCGGAGCTGTGGATGCTGCGGCATGTGAACCACCTGGCACTATAGGCGAAGCATCCGAGGCAGCAGAGCTGCCATGGTACAAAGTGCGTCACTGCAACAGTTGCTGGAGGCACTGGTAGTGGCGGACTTGGAGGCAAAAGTTTAACTGGGCTGCCCTGCCCAGTCTGCAACATGAAGGGAACTGAAAACCCACCAATCTACCCGGTCTGCAAAAAAAGAGATCGACTTCGCTGCCAATCCGAGATGAGTAGGATGCGACGTTGACGACTTTTGAATTTGTGATGCTGGTCAACTTCAACTCTATGTGCAGTGTGTCGAATGCTGGGGTCGTTCAAGCGAGACCTTGCGAATGCAAACTCGGGCGAAACTGTGCATCGGACTATTTGGCAGATACAGTGCTCGACTTCTCGATCCTGTATACACCCAGTTATACCCATGACTGGTTGAACTCGAAACAAATCTTGATCACCGCTGATCTGAGAAGTGATAGTGTAGCGGCCTTAGGTGCTACACCTCCACGACATTACGTTGAAGCGGCGGTTCCAGTAACAGAACTGAAAGAAAAAATGTCAATCAAGGGAAGTGCAGTTGTATCTGTCCGATGCCTGACATGTCAGTGCTGAGGGCTTCTTCCAAATACGCAACACGAAAGCATGTCTCACAAATGCCCCCGCACGACACAAGTGTCTTCCATGAGTCTGCAATTCAAGAACCTTTGTTTTACAGCCCTCATGAAAGTTGAACAACGCCACTCCCGGTCAGACCCCAGAAGCACGCCTTTCCTGCTCCTTCCTTTGCGTGCAAAAAATGGCTTCTCGTAATCCTACGAAGCAGCATCTCAAATACGAGCAGCCGAGCAGCCGCTCAAAAAGTCTCGGCGACTAGACTCGAGTGCGGCTCTGCGTGCCGTGCTGCTAATTGCTGTCACTTGCACTTCTTGGCCCTGCTCATGAACCCATCAACAGAAATTGCCAAGCGGCAGCAGAATTTGCGTGGGCGACCACTGGAACTATGGGCGCTGTCGGCCCCGCCTTAGGATGCAAGCAAGAGACACCTCCAGCAGCTGCCATGGCTTTCTATGTTTGTGATTGTTGGTGCCGCTTCGGCCTTTAAGCATTCCTCACACGCTCCGAACCACTCCTTCCACGGCCGAGTATCGGGAATGACCGCAGAAACCTAGGCGAAGATTCACGGAACGTCTGACAATGGTTTCGGCTTGCAGGCGCATGTTCCGACTCTGCTGCATGAAACCAGCACGCGAGGGAGATGCTCAAGCCGCAGTTGGATTGCTCCGGCGTGAGCGTATGCTGGGAATGCCAACAATAACCATCGCATTGATCTTCAACAGGACTTCAACAGGTGACAAGAAGCGCAGAAGCCGCGACATCTGCACCCTGAAAAGCGCACCCTTAAAGGCATCTTTAGCCTCACTTTTCTACCGTGCAACATCGTGCAACCAACCGGCGACCACGGCTACTGCCCTGTGCTGCGAACCCCCGTCAATGCCCCGAAGCTTCCCAGAAATTCATTGTCAAGCGGCGCTGGTGGTGGTTGTCGCGGGCCCCGAGATACCTGCCTGGCCCGCCTTGGTATGCAAGACTCATAGCAGCCACACCATGCGGGGCATAAAGGCGCGATAGTTCGCCAGAAAAGTGCTGCTTGCGACACTCGCGTCCAGAACCATTAGCCACGGGAGCCCGTGAACAGAATTGCCAAGCGACAGCAGTGTTTGTGCTGGCGTCCACTCGAACTATCGGTGCTGTCGGCCCCACCTTAGCATGCAAGCAATAAACACCTCCAGCAGCTGCCATGGCTCTCTCTGTTCGCGATTGTTGGTGCAGAGGATGGCACTGTGAGAGGAGATATACGGACACCACACCCTTACGTAGCCTTACATGCTGCTGCCTCCTCTTAGCATCTTCGGCCCTTAAGCAATCCTCACACGCTCCGAACCACTCTTTGCACGGCCGAGTATCGGGAATGCCCGCAGAAACCTAGGCGAAGATTCACGGAACGTCTGACGATGGTTTCTGCTTGCAGGCGCATGTTCCGACTCTGCTGCATGAAACCAGCACGCGAGGGAGATGCTCAAGCCGCAGTTGGATTGCTACGGCATGAGCGTATGCTGGGAATGCCAACCATAACAATCGCATTGATCTCCAACGGGTTACAAGGAGCACAGAAGCCGCGACATCTGCACCCTGAAAAGCGCACCCTTAAAGGCATCTTTAGCCTCACTTTTCTACCGTGCAACCAACCGGCGACCACGGCTACTGCCCCGTGCTGCGAACCCCCGTCAATGCCCCGAAGCTTCCCAGAAATTCATTGTCAAGCGGCGCTGGTGGTGGTTGTCGCGGGCCCCGAGATACCTGCCTGGCCCGCCTTGGTATGCAAGACTCATAGCAGCCACACCATGCGGGGCATAAAGGCGCGATAGTTCGCCAGAAAAGTGCTGCTTGCGACACTCGCGTCCAGAACCATTAGCCACGGGAGCCCGTGAACAGAATTGCCAAGCGACAGCAGTGTTTGTGCTGGCGTCCACTCGAACTATCTGTGCTGTCGGCCCCACCTTAGCATGCAAGCAATCAACACCTCCAGCAGCTGCCATGGCTCTCTCTGTTCGCGATTGTTGGTGCAGAGGATGGCACTGTGAGAGGAGATATACGGACACCACACCCTTACGTAGCCTTACATGCTGCTGCCTCCTCTTAGCATCTTCGGCCCTTAAGCAATCCTCACACGCTCCGAACCACTCCTTGCACGGCCGAGTATCGGGAATGCCCGCAGAAACCTAGGCGAAGATTCACGGAACTTCTGACGATGGTTTCTGCTTGCAGGCGCATGTTCCGACTCTGCTGCATGAAACCAGCACGCGAGGGAGATGCTCAAGCCGCAGTTGAATGCTCCGGCATGAACGTATGCTGGGAATGCCAACCATAACAATCGCATTGATCTTCAACGGGTTACAAGGAGCACAGAAGCCGCGACATCTGCACCCTGAAAAGCGCACCCTTAAAGGCATCTTTAGCCTCACTTTTCTACCGTGCAACCAACCGGCGACCACGGCTACTGCCCCGTGCTGCGAACCCCCGTCAATGCCCCGAAGCTTCCCAGAAATTCATTGTCAAGCGGCGCTGGTGGTGGTTGTCGCGGGCCCCGAGATACCTGCCTGGCCCGCCTTGGTATGCAAGACTCATAGCAGCCACACCATGCGGGGCATAAAGGCGCGATAGTTCGCCAGAAAAGTGCTGCTTGCGACACTCGCGTCCAGAACCATTAGCCACGGGAGCCCGTGAACAGAATTGCCAAGCGACAGCAGTGTTTGTGCTGGCGTCCACTCGAACTATCGGTGCTGTCGGCCCCACCTTAGCATGCAAGCAATAAACACCTCCAGCAGCTGCCATGGCTCTCTCTGTTCGCGATTGTTGGTGCAGAGATATACGGACACCACACCCTTACGTAGCCTTACATGCTGCTGCCTCCTCTTAGCATCTTCGGCCCTTAAGCAATCCTCACACGCTCCGAACCACTCCTTGAACGGCCGAGTATCGGGAATGCCTGCAGAAACCTAGGCGAAGATTCACGGAACTTCTGACGATGGTTTCTGCTTGCAGGCGCATGTTCCGACTCTGCTGCATGAAACCAGCACGCGAGGGAGATGCTCAAGCCGCAGTTGGATTGCTACGGCATGAGCGTATGCTGGGAATGCCAACCATAACAATCGCATTGATCTTGAACGGGTTACAAGGAGCACAGAAGCCGCGACATCTGCACCCTGAAAAGCGCACCCTTAAAGGCATCTTTAGCCTCACTTTTCTACCGTGCAACCAACCGGCGACCACGGCTACTGCCCTGTGCTGCGAACCCCCGTCAATGCCCCGAAGCTTCCCAGAAATTCATTGTCAAGCGGCGCTGGTGGTGGTTGTCGCGGGCCCCGAGATACCTGCCTGGCCCGCCTTGGTATGCAAGACTCATAGCAGCCACACCATGCGGGGCATAAAGGCGCGATAGTGCGCCAGAAAAGTGCTGCTTGCGACACTCGCGTCCAGAACCATTAGCCACGGGAGCCCGTGAACAGAATTGCCAAGCGACAGCAGTGTTTGTGCTGGCGTCCACTCGAACTATCGGTGCTGTCGGCCCCACCTTAGCATGCAAGCAATAAACACCTCCAGCAGCTGCCATGGCTCTCTCTGTTCGCGATTGTTGGTGCAGAGGATGGCACTGTGAGAGGAGATATACGGACACCACACCCTTACGTAGCCTTACATGCTGCTGCCTCCTCTTAGCATCTTCGGCCCTTAAGCAATCCTCACACGCTCCGAACCACTCCTTGAACGGCCGAGTATCGGGAATGACCGCAGAAACCTAGGCGAAGATTCACGAAACTTCTGACGATGGTTTCTGCTTGCAGGCGCATGTTCCGACTCTGCTGCATGAAACCAGCACGCGAGGGAGATGCTCAAGCCGCAGTTGGATTGCTACGGCATGAGCGTATGCTGGGAATGCCAACCATAACAATCGCATTGATCTTCAACGGGTTACAAGGAGCACAGAAGCCGCGACATCTGCACCCTGAAAAGCGCACCCTTAAAGGCATCTTTAGCCTCACTTTTCTACCGTGCAACCAACCGGCGACCACGGCTACTGCCCTGTGCTGCGAACCCCCGTCAATGCCCCGAAGCTTCCCAGAAATTCATTGTCAAGCGGCGCTGGTGGTGGTTGTCGCGGGCCCCGAGATACCTGCCTGGCCCGCCTTGGTATGCAAGACTCATAGCAGCCACACCATGCGGGGCATAAAGGCGCGATAGTTCGCCAGAAAAGTGCTGCTTGCGACACTCGCGTCCAGAACCATTAGCCACGGGAGCCCGTGAACAGAATTGCCAAGCGACAGCAGTGTTTGTGCTGGCGTCCACTCGAACTATCGGTGCTGTCGGCCCCACCTTAGCATGCAAGCAATAAACACCTCCAGCAGCTGCCATGGCTCTCTCTGTCTGAATGCTTGTTGGTTGGTTGTCTTTGGGAATCATGTGATTTGGCGATTCCGGGTCATCATACATTTTAAGCCCCCCCCCCTTATTTGGCGATTCCGGTTCCCTACAACCCCCCCCCCCCCCCGAACTCCAATTCCGGCTCATCATATTTCTTGAACCCGCCCCGTGATTCGGCTATTCCGGGTCATCATATATCTTGAACATGCCCCCTCATTTGCCGAGTCCAGGTCCTCGTACATCTTAAACACGCCCTCTCATTTGGCGACTCCGGCTCATCACATGTCTCAAACACATCCCTCATCTGGCGATTCCGGTTCATGTATCTTCGACACGATCACTCATTTGGCGATTCCGGTTCATCATATACTTCAATCAGGCCCCGGCATTTGGCGATTCCGATTCTTCATGTATCTTAAACACGCCCCGTCATTTGGCGATTTCGGTTATCATACATCTTAACCACGCCCCGTCATTTGGCGATCCCAGTTCATGATATATCTTAAACACCCCCCAACTCATTTGGCTATTCCGGTTCATCATCGGCCGCACCTTAGCATGCAAGCAAGAAACACGTCCAGCAGCTGCCATGGCTGTCCGCTGTTGTACACCACGCCCTGACATGCCCTTACACCTGCCTCCCCTTAAATTATTTGGCCGTTGTGCAGCCCTCACAAGCTCCGAAACTCTCCTTCCACGGCCGAGCATCGCCTTCATTGTATATGAGCAGAATATCCCGAACTCTGCAGGCCAAGACGCGGCATTGTGCGTGGAGATGCGATGTCCAATGTCCTTGACATCGCTGGGGCGGCCCTAGGGGAGGGTCACGGCTTCGGTTTAGGGGGCTTGAGCGGAAGCTTTGGCAGGCTGTGGAAGTTGAGGGCGGCTCAAGGGGGTTGGACTCAATAACGGGGGTTGGATCAACAGCATCGGCGTGAGCATTGCAGCCGTGCAGCCGTTGTGAGGCTGCTGAGAGTCGCTGCACGCCTGCGAAAATTCACGCCGACCAGAGTCACTAGAGTCTAGAGGGTACAGCGACTCACAAGATACGGCAGATCTTCGCCATGAGCAAAGTAGCTGCACCTCCGCGAGCTCATCTCGCTCAGGATCTCTTTGCGCAGGTCGTCCCTCAGTGGTACAATGAGCATGGCCCATCCGGCAAGCAGTTTGAAAGCACCGGAGAAGGAGCATTGAATCAAATCCCAGCGGAATGCCTGAGATGAGACTAACTTGAAGCAAGTTGAGATCTGGTAAGCATTTCTTTGCCTCCAGCACTGACCAGAACAAGTCAGGAGGCTTGAAGGAGCCCTTTTCTAATCAGTGTATCAACTTGAAAACATATCGGCAAACCTGCGACTGCCAAGTAACGTTCGAAGAGAAGCGTTGTTGCATGCGTTACCTGGGACTGGACTTCCACAGCGCTCCCTCCTCCTCCCGGCTCTCTCGCCAGAGACGGGTCCAGCCAAGGTGCTGAGTCGAGGATGTAGCGTGTCGACATAGCCCTTTAGCCTTGCTGCATACCTCGTGGAGCATCTAAGAATATCGATCAATCGAGGAATTCAAAGAAACACAGCACATATTCCATGAGCGACCTCGAACTTGCATCGGACAGCCAGCCCAGCCGATGCTGAAGATCCGAAACCAGCAGTGTCACGTTCCTGCAGCAAGGAGCACTGCGCGAGCCATCAAGCAACAATGTGGAGGGTGTGGGGGCGCATGGGGGGGCTCGGACGCAGAGGTGCACGGGGGCGCCGTGGGCGCTCGGAGGCGCGGGCACGCGAGCGCGCGAGCGCGGGCGCGGGCGGAGCGGGCGGGGCGGAGCGGTGCGGGCTTTGTGTTGCATTGCGGGGAGTTGCGAGGGCGTGGTCGCAGTTCAAGAGTTGCACGAGTGTGTGTGTGTGTGTGTTGAAGCCCCCACTGACAGCGCTTTTTTATTGATGTCTCAGCGGAGCATTGAAACTCTATGCTGAGTGAATTCCGACACGGATGAACATTCCACCATGGAAGCCTGGGTGTTTCGAGTGTGTGTCTGTGTTGTGTGTGTGTGTCTGTCTGTCTTGTCTGTGTCTGTGTGTGTGTGTCTGTGTTGTGTGCTGTGTGTGTGTGTGTGTGTGTCTGTCTGTGTGTGTGTGTCTGTCTGTGTGTGTGTGTGTGTGTGCTGTGTGTGGTGTCTGTCTGTCTGTCTGTCTGTCTGTCTCTGTCTGTCTGCTGTCTGTCTGTCTGTCTGTCTGTCTGTCTGTCTGTTCTGTCTGTCTGTCTGTCTGTATGTCTGTCTGTCTGTCGTCTGTTGTCTGTCTGTCTGTCTGTCTGTCTGTCTGTCTGTCTGTCTGTCTGTGTGTGGTCTGTGTGTTGGTCTGTCTGCTCGGTCTGTCTGTCTGTCGTCTGTCTGTCTGTGTCGTCTGTCTGTCTCTGTCGTCTCTGTCTGTATCTGTCTGTCGTCTTGTCGGTCCTTCTGTCTGTCTGTGGTCTGTCTGTCTGTCTGTCTGTTGTCTCTGTCTGTCTGGTCTGTCTGTCGTCTGTCTGTCTGTCTGTCTGTCTGTCTGTCTGTCTGGTCTGTTTGTCTGTCTGTCTGCCTGCTGATGCCCTGCCTGCCTGACTGCCATGCCTGCCCCTGCCTGCCTTCTGCCTGCCGCCTGCTGCCTGCATGCCTGGCTTCCTGGACTGGTCTGCCTGCATGCCTGCTGACTGTCTGCCTGCTGTCTGTGTCTGTCTGTCTGTCTGTGGTCTGTTGTCTGTGTGTCTGTGTGTATCTGTGTCGTGTGTATGTGTGTGGTCTGTGTCTGTGTGTCTGTGTGTCTGTGTGTCTGTGTGTGTGTCTGTGTGTCTGTGTGTCTGTGTGTGCTGTGTGTATGTGGTCTGTGGTTGTGTTGTCTGTGTGTATGTGTGTATGTGGTATGTGTGTCTGTGTGTATGTGTGGTCTGTGTGTCTGTGTGTCTGTGTGGTATGTGTGTATGGGGTCTGGGTTCTGTGGGTCTGTGTGTGCTGTGGTCTGGTGTATGTGTGTCGTGGGTTGTGGTCTGTGTGTCTGTGTGTCTGTGGTTGTGTGCTTGTGTCTGTGTGTCTGTGTGTCGGGGGTGGTCTGGGTGTCTGTGTGTCTGTGTGTCTGTGTTGTCTGTGTGTCTGGTGGTTGTGTGTTGTTGTCTGTGGTCTGTGTGTCTTGCGTGTCTGAGTGTCTGCGTGTCTGCGTGTTGCGTTGTTGGTGTCTGCGTTGTTCGCGTGTATGCGTGTCTGAGTGTTGCGTGTCCTCGTGTCTGCGTGTCTGCGTGTATGCGTGTTGCGTTGTCTCGTGTCTGGTGTCTGCGTGTCTGGTGTCTGAGTGTTCTGAGTGTCTGCGTGTCTGCGTGTCTGCGTGTCGGCGTGTAGCGTGTCTGCGTGTCTGCGTGTCTGAGTGTCTGTGTCTTGCGGTCTGTGGTCTGCGTGTATGCGTGTCTGCGTGTCGTGAGTGTCTGCGTGTCTGAGTGTCTGCGTGTATGCGGGTATTGTCGTGTATGCGTGTCTGCGTGTCTGCGTGCTGCGTTGCGTGTCTGCGGTTCTGCGTGTCTGCGTGTCTGGTGTCTGAGTGTCTGCGTGTTGCTGTTGCGTGTCTGGTGTTCTGCGTGTCTGGTGTCTGCGTGTCTGAGTGTCTGCGTGTCTGCGTGTCTGGTGTATGGTGTCTGCGTGTCTGCGTGTCTGGGGGTCTGCGTGGCGCGTGTCTGCGTTGCTGCGTGTCTGCGGGTCTGGTGTCTGCGTGTCTGCGTGTCTGCGTCTCTGCTCTTCTGCGGTCTGCGTCTTCTGGTCTCGGCGTCTCTGCGCTCTCTGCGGCTCTGCGTCTCTGCGTTCTATGCGTCTTGCGTCTCTGCGTCTCTGGTTCTCTGCGTCTCTGCGTCTCTCGTCTCGCGTCTCTGCGTTCTGGTTCTTGCGTCTCTGCGTCTTTGCGTCTATGCGTCCTCTTGCGTCTCGGTCTCTGCGTTCTGCGTTCTCTGCGCTCTGGTCTCGGAGTTCTGCGGTCTCTGCGTCCTTAGTCTCTGGGTCTCTGGGTCGGGTGTCTGTGTGTAGTTTTTTTTTTTTTTTTTTTTTTTTTTTTTTTGGGGGGGGGGGGTTTGGGTGGTGTTTTTTGTTTTTATGGTGTCTGTGTGTGTGTGTGTGTGTGTGTGTGTGTGGGTGTGTGTGTGTGTGTGTGTGTGTGTGTGTGTGTGTGTGTGTGTGTGTGTGTGTGTTGTGTGTTTTGTGTTGTGTGTGTGTGTGTGTGTGTGTGTGTGTGTGTGTGTGTGTGTGTGTGTGTGTGTGTGTGTGTGTGTGTGTGTGTGTGTGTGTGTGTGTGTGTGTGTGTGTGTGTGTGTGTGTGTGTGTGTGTGTGTGTGTGTGTGGTGTGTGTGTGTGTGTGTGTGTGTGTGTGTGTGTGTGTGTGTGTGTGTGTGTGTGTGTGTGTGTGTGTGTGTGTGTGTGTGTGTGTGTGTGTGTGTGTGTGTGTGTGTGTGTGTGTGTGTGTGTGTGTGTGTGTGTGTGTGTGTGTGTGTGTGTGTGTGTGTGTGTGTGTGTGTGTGTGTGTGTGTGTGTGTGTGTGTGTGTGTGTGTGTGTGTGTGTGTGTGTGTGTGTGTGTGTGTGTGTGTGTGTGTGTGTGTGTGTGTGTGTGTGTGTGTGTGTGTCTGTCTGTGTGTGTCTGTCTGTGTGTGTGGAACACCTGTTTGCCAAGGTTTACTGCCATTCAATCAATCCGTTTTGCAGGGGGCTGGAGTGCAACACAGAAGTCTCCAGCCAACGAAGACGCTTCTGCGCTTGCAGTGCAAGCGTACCTGCAGTGGTGCACCTGGGGATAGCGAATCCAGCTGGTGGCCACAATATGTTTCTACGGGGTAACCATGCCTCAGTTCAAGGCCTGATCGCTTAGTTGCAGACAGGACTGATGCCCTTTCGTTTCACAACAGCCGTCAGTCTGATCAAGCAACTGTTCTCCCCTGGACAACTTATCTCGCCATGGCCTCCTGGTCATCATGGTCAACCAGCGATTCCAGCAGCAGCTGGGACAACAGACAACAATGGAATCGATGGAACAAAGAAGACAAATGGGACTCCAAATACTCTGAGAAGTCGTGGGAGCATGTAGCCAGCCCCACTTATCAATCTTTTACGTTGCCGTCTTCTTTTGTTTCTGATCAGCAGCACTACGACAAGACCCCTTTGGGCAAAGGTGCCCATGTGCTGCACAAGTTGGTTCAACCAACAGAGTGGTCCCGGAAAGAAGGGTTAGCCGGCCGAGATGTCAGTGACATCCGTGCCTTTGAGCTTTCCCACCGAGGCCTTGGAGATTTCTCGTTCCGGTTGCTGTCGGAAGGACGGCATCAGAGTATCGTCTGGGCTCGAAGTGGCCAGGAATCGGTGCTCATCACAGCGTTGTTGAAGAAGCTTCGTGAGAGTGGTGTTTCTATTGATGAGGCAGCAAAAGCTTGCCATAGCTCCGCACCGCCGGACAAACACAAGAAAGCAATGCGATTCATGGAACCGCTTGCTCAAGAACTTTTGAATTGTGTTTTGGCCAAGGCGCCTGTCACAAATTCGGATGCCTCTGAAGAGCTCGCCAAAGCCAAAGCCAAACTGGCTGAGCATGGCATTGCAATGTCCCCTTTGAAGAGAAAAGCAACTGAAGATCCTGAGCCAGACTCAGAAAGAAGGGCAAAGCCCGCCATGCCTATTGTTGAGCCGGAATCCCAAATGGAAGCTGAAAAGCTCCTTAAGGACCCTCAAAGAAAGCTGGAAACACGTCCCAAAGGAGCCACAGATGACCATGTCACTGAATGGCTGGCCACTTACAAGAACAAGCCAGAGTTTAAAGGCAAGTACCAGCTGCTCGTCAAGCATGTACAGACTGTTCAGAAGCTTCTCAAAACTGAAGCCTCCAAAGACCAACTGGTCTCTGCTGCAAAAGATGTCGGACTGGATCCGAAGCTGGCATCCAGACTGTCGATTAAGAATCTGTCTACAGTGATTGCTGTTGCACAATTTCAAACTGCTTGACTAGCAGTTCAATGCCAACATCTTGCTGCTTCCAGCAAACAGGGAATCAAGCAGCAAATTTGTGTGTTGGGAGAGGCTGTGACGTTCTTTTTGCACCACTGTTCGGGCTTCAATAAAGACTCTGCACTGTGGGCCCAAGGCTTGCTTCATCTGCTGTTGCTGTTTTACTTTCAAGATGGCTCCCTCTCGTCTTATGCTGAAACTATTCGACAAAAGCTTCAGCATTTTCGGGTCCACCCTGCCACCTACACGTGGCCACGATTTCAATCTCAGAATGCAGTGTACATGAAGACAGCTGTGGACTGGCGCCATTTTTCAAGTATTGAGCACTACAGGCAGCCTTCCACATTTATGTACATAGGATCCACGAGCCAATCAGTTTTTCGCAGAGAGTCTAACAGATTCTCAGTCGCTAGGAAGCTGGCCAGCGGAGGTGAAGCTCAGGCCGAGCTAGCAATTCGATATTGGGTGTCCAATCAGTGTCTCGAACAGTATACTCTGTTTCTTGTTGCTCCGTGCTCAACCTACAAAGAAGCATGGGTTACTGAGCACTGCTTAATTGGGATGTGGCAGCCCAAGTTGAATCACCCATACATTACCTCCTTTTTGAAGAGGAGTGCATTGGGCTTTAGACCCAACAAGAGAGTTCGACACAGTGTGTCCTCCAGGTTTGGGCTAAGACTGTGGGGAAAACTGAGAAAGAAACTCCACAGGCAACTTCAGCCCGTTCCTTTTCAGCTAAAAAGAAGGTCGGCATGGGAGATATTGTTCAATCTTACATGCTTCAGCCGTGCCCCCTTTGAAGAGGCAAGAAAGCTGCGAAGCGACCGATACCTTCCTGATGAGATTTACTCTCTGATTCGGTTGAGCAACTGTTTGGAAGCGCCTGGCAAAAGCAAAGCCAGGAAAGTACTCCGGAGTGTTTGTCAGTATCGCAATATGCCCTGGCCCACGGCTGCCTTAGGCTTGCAGTTGAAATTCACAGCATCCTCAAGCTTCGGGTCAGATGTGTCTAGATGGATCCGAAAGCTTGCGTTGGCACACAAGCCGATTCTTATACCTTTTTCATTTGCCGGTGTGCAAAGTTAGGGAGCAACCCCATCAGTCTCTCAAAGACTTTCTGCACAATTTCAAAGACTGGGATCAGTGGTTGCAGACTCATTGTGTTGCTGATGCCCCGTGTCCTTGCAGCTATTACACCAAACAACTGCCAGAACAGTGCCTCACCAGGGGCCATGCTGTAGCAGGCATTGAGCAGCTGGGTAGCTTACACCACTCCTGTGAAAAATTAGGGAGTGGCAGTGCATCCTCAGCGTTTTTTCCGTCTAAACGAGAATTTTTCAACCACAACACCCGTATGTTTGCATCTTGGAGACGCAAACATTGTCTTCCCAAGGGTGTAGATCGAACTTTCCAGCAGTTTCTCGAGCAGCAATGGAGCAAGCACCTGGATCACCTGAGCAAGAAAGTCGGCTCACGTGGAAGGATGTTTCCGCTGCTCGCAACTTATTGCATCGACACTTTATTGTGCATTGTGAAGACCGTGAACCGAATCATCTTATGGTCTTCTGTCCCAAGTTCTACCTTCAAGCTGCCATGAAGACCTGGCAGGATCCGGATGTTTTTGAACCTGTGGAAGGTTCAAAAGAACTGTGGAACCAACAAGTTTTCCAACAGATTCCCGGCACATTGAAGAGACGATATCGCTGGGGAATCAATGCTTCGGGCACCCTACCGGTTGGGTTCGTGTTTCTCAAAAGGAAGAAAGAATTTTTGAAGGGGAGGACGATAATATCGTATTCCAAGAGCTGCATCAAGAAGTTGTTGATTGCAGCTGCGCAAGCAATTCTTTTGATGGTCCGCCTGGTGTGGCCTGAGGCCATGGGCCTAGCCACCACCCCTCAACTTTGGAAGAGACTGCATCAGTTTCTTCGTCGCACCCCTCCAGTGGTGCATCTTGCTGAGGTCAACGATGATCTAGTGGGATTTTTCAACTCTGTACCTAGACAGCAAATCTTGGATCCCTTGTCAATGCTTGTACAGCTTTATACCGATCAGGAATACCCTCCACACATTACGGTATCCCTGAAACAGCAGCCCAACTGTGAGTCTGCTTGGCCAGGCAAACCCCTGGCAAAGGGCGCCAAACATATACGATTTCTTCATGTCTCCGACTTGACTGCCATTGTACAGACTTCCTTTGAAGCAGGAGTGTTCACCACTCTTGGCCTGTTGTTCAGGCAACACCGGGGCACGTGTATAGACAATCAAATCAGCCCGGTACTCAGCAGCCTTCCAGTGATGCAAAGAGAATCTTGTTGGCAAAGAGAATGGCATCAGTTCCTGAGTTCAGCTAGGTTTTTCGACAACCAAGCGTCGGAACTGTTTGTCTGTAGGTATGTTGACAATCGACTTGTTGAATGCGACGAGACCTTTCTGTCGCATCCATGCATGAAAGGTTTTCAACACCTCTCTTTCTACGGAGGGACCATCCAGCTGGAAGAAGTTACGAATCATCAATTTCTGGGCTTCCGGCTCAACATGGCCAACAGGACTGTGACTTACCTGCAACCAGACAAAGCCTGGTCTATCAGGAATCCACGATCAGCAGGGAGTTGGTCCATTCGAGTTTCAGGTTACTTATCTCGGAAAGCCTTGATTGTACAGTATGCATGGCCTCCGAGTAGTCGGAAACATCAATTGCAGGAACTCCGCGATCTGTATATAGCTAGGGGATTCCCTGCCGAGATGTTGATCTGAAAGCTTCAAAATTCGGACTTTTTTGCCTACTGTGAAGTTTCAGTGCCTTTTCGCATCTGAACCAGTTCCCACCATTGAGAGTTTGGCCCGTGGGGTCACAGGAATTTTGGCTACGGGCAAGATCCTACCTACGGATCATAGTGTAGCCGGCCTAGAACCTCAAGAGGATACGTTTTCCTTCTACGGCAGAAGTACAACAAACCCCAATTGGGGTGCAGGAGTTGTACAGCTCGCCTGCAAGTGTTACCACTCAACCAAGAACTGTTCTGGAGTGGTTTTTGCAGGCTTATTGCCGAGCAACCATATCAGGGGCAAGAATGCATGCACCAGATATGAGAACAATCTGGCGAGATTTCATGCCTTGGTCCACAGCTGCTCTTCGGACAGACGGTGGGCAATTAGGTTCGCGGCGGCTCGCATTGATTTTGTCTTTGTTCTTTCAGAACGAAGCAAAGCTGACTATCCTCAGCAAGAGAGCCGACAACGCCGCAGAACTCGGCCCCGAGCTGTCGGTAACGAGCCTGCTTTGGCTCTGGCAGATGCCCCTCCTGACGACAGCTGGGGTCCATGGGGTAATCCTGCAACCCCTAAGATAGAGCTGCCAGATGTAGAGGAACCTGAGGAAGAAAACCTCATGGCAGCAGCCGCTGCTTTCGCAGCCGCAAGCTGAATCAATTCGTGCAGCAGGAAAACATTTCGCTACGTGTTTATGTGCTTTTCTGATTGCCGCAACAACCTGCACATGCAAAGCTATGTCAGGATAAGTCCTTTGCCGTAGGAATTTGTGGCTCTTGCGATGCCTCTTTTGCGGTGGCCATGGACCAACCCATTGGCCCTCGTGATCCTTCACCTGTTTCGTCGACGTCTTCGTGGCATTCTGCTTTTGATGTGACTTGTGAGCCAGTTTCCAAAAGGCGCAAGAAACGTCCTAAGGACGATGATGGTACAAAGAAGAAGAAAAAAAAAGAAAAAGAAGTCCAAGAAGACTTCTAAAACCTCTGCGGAGATTCAACCAACAGCTTCCGATGCTCCGAAATTCTTTGATCCCATTTTGGAAGTTACATACCCCCTACCGGGGTTTGTCAAGCCGCCTGCCAATGTGCCACAACCATATCAGTTTCGTGGCAAAGCAGCCGCTAAAATGCAGGCTCGCAGTGGCTACAGGTGCACCTGCCTGCCACTATGTTTCGAAGCATTTGTGTCCTGTTAAACTCATCCAGGATGAGTTTGGGCCCACCAAGCAGTGAAGCAGCTTCTCAGCAGTTGCAAGGCTAAGCCAAAATAACACTGCATTATTTAAATGTTTTTTGCTCCGGTGCGTTGCAAGTTCTTGAAGTGTCTCCTTAGTTTGCGGCTTTCAGTGGAGTTTAGTCTGTCCAGCATGTCGGAACGCAGCAGATCTCGGTCCCCGCAGATTTCGTGGCGTTTTTACTGGTCCAAAAGTACGACAACCGATGGTCAAGACCGTTGGTGGAAAACGTGGTTCCCTGCCACACAGCAGTGGATCCAGAATCGCCTTGCTGCGGATAAACTTTGGGACCAAAACCCAGAATCGACCGAGACGACTACCATTTCTGAGAGCAAGACTTCGTGTTCCCAGTCGCCTCGCAAAAGACGGCGAGATGTCTCTCCATGAAAGCTAAGTTTCTGCATGTAATTAATCTTGCCAGTCTTTTCACTGGCCGAATTCATTAATAGCATGTAAGGTGCATACCCAATTATTGGGATGCTAGGCCGTGCTTATTTTCACTATTTGATCGAGCTTAGGGGCTGAGTGCAGAAAATGTGCACAAATTTCAAGCATTGTTTCCGCCACAAGTGGCTACCCCGTTCGCGGGGTGTGTGTGTGGAACACCTGTTTGCCAAGGTTTACTGCCATTCAATCAATCCGTTTTGCAGGGGGCTGGAGTGCAACACAGAAGTCTCCAGCCAACGAAGACGCTTCTGTGCTTGCAGTGCAAACGTACCTGCAGTGGTGCACCTGGGGATAGCGAATCCAGCTGGTGGCCACAATATGTTGCTGTGAGTTTACTGCATGGCATTGGGGCCAAGCCACAAACCCCACATGTGATTTCTGTTAAGGCCAGAGGTAAAGCCTAAATCCTCTTAGAGTCCTACACCTCTGAATGATTCGACTGAAATTCTCGAGAGATATATCAGTCCAGAGGGAGGATTGCACGAGTGTGTCTGTCTGTGTGTCTGTGTGTCTGCGTGTCTGTGTGTGTGTGCGTCTGTGTGTCTGTGTGTCTGTGTGTCTGTGTGTCTGCGTGTCTGCGTGTCTGCGTGTCTGCGTGTCTGGGTGTCTGGGTGTCTGCGTGTCTGTGTGTCTGTGTGTCTGTGTGTTTGTGTGTCTGTGTGTTTGTGTGTCTGTGTGTCTGTGTGTCCGTGTGTCTGTGTGTCTGTGTGTCTGTGTGTCTGTGTGTGTTTCTGCTTGTTTTTTTGCGTATTGTGTGTTGTGTGTTGTGTGTTGCACGTGCGTTGGCTTGCGTTGGCGTGCGTTGTGCGTGCGCTGGCACTCGTCAGTAGGCATGCTTGCGTGCGCGCATGTGCCGATTTCACAAGTGATCAAGCTGCTAATCCTGTCGAAGTCCGTGCAGTCACCAACTGTGACGTTTGCAAGTGTTAAGAGCACTTCGGAGCAATTGAACAGGGCATGCGAGCAATGCTGGCATCTGTCGTCTTTTGGATTGGGCTTCTGCGTTCTCGGCAGGAACATCCCAAGTTTGGATCATCCATAGGCACGCCTAGGAACATTGAAAAGCCGCTCGCAAGCAACAAGCCCGGCCTCAACGGCTCGGAGGTTCGCAACGACAAGTGCAACCTTCAGGCGAGTCGACACAAGCAAGAGGCCTCCGCCCTAAACTGTGCCGCGCCTCTGCACCTTCTGCTGCGCTGCCAGGAGATGACCATAGCCCTGCCAAAAAGCCAGCTGTCGCTGCCTCTCATCTGCCTAAAGCACCGCCACTTGAGCATGGAGTCTTTCAAAAGCAGACTGGATGCCGGGGCATGCACCCACCTGCGCATGCAGTCAACGTAGCTAGCATCGACCTGGCACGGACAAGATGCCAGCCATGCACCGGGAACTCGAATGTTTCCGAATCTTTCACCGTATCTGTTCGAGGTAACGAGGCAAAGCCAGCTCACAAATAGAAAACCAACCCGGCACGTCACACAAGAGTCCTGAACAAATCATGAGTAATATGAATCGTTCTTCCGGCGCGGTCAAGCGCAGTACAGGAAAGGCATCTCCTTAGGAGGCTTTCCTTCGTGAGATTCTAAGCCTAGGCGCGGAACATCTAAGGGCCACCGCATGCTTCGCACACGTGTAGGGCATCCAACGAAAAGTTGAAAGCAGCTTCCGCCGCATTGGTGGAGCACAAGGCAACGGACGATAGAACTCTGTGCTGTCCCGAGAAGTCAGGACGGGTTCGTTATCGATGATGGCTGCAGTGGTAGACCGCAGACGAAGACACTATGAGGGGAAGACCTATTGATTCGCGGGATTTCCAAGCCTTTTGAGCAAAGCACAATGACGGCCCTGCGCCTGTACAGGCTCTCGGCCGGAGCTTGGTGCCTACCTGGACATCGGCATGGGGGGCCGACCGCGCGCTCGCATTTCTCGAAGGATCCTCGGCTGAGAAGGGGCACACTGTCAAGGCGCTTGGCATCACTTCATCTGCATTCCACTGTTTTCCAAGCGTCTGAAGCTTGAGCTGCCCGAGGTCTCGTACCGTGGCTGGGTTGGAGCCTCGCAAAGCGATCGTCTCTTCGAGGAACTCTGTAAGGCTCATCTCCGCTTCTCCTGCAAAGACCATGTCCTTAGGCAGAACAATGCGATCGGGTCGAGGAATGTGAGGATGGAGTCCGATACCAGTAAACACGACATAATCCTTTGGACAAGCGGCCGGATCCCGGAGAATGGCCACGACATCGATGCCCGACTCCAGAAAGATGCCGACGAGATCCGGACGATTCACCAAGCCTGCAAATTCGCCCCTTGCGATGACGTCCTCCTTCTTCCTTGGTCCAAGTCGTTCCAGCGCCTCTCCGGCAAAACCACATTCCGACATTTGGCACGCGACCGTCCTGTGAAGAGGAAAGAACCCTGTCCTGGCCTCCTGCAGAGCCTCGAAGATGGCGTTTCGCGTAGAGGCTTCCTGCTCGGCTGCAGCCACGACACCGACCACCTCAACCAGCACCCCGACAATCAGATTCATGACCTCAGAGAGTGCAAATGAGCAGGGGGCAGACGCAGGTGCAGCATGAGGCATGGGCAGTCAGAGGTGCAAGAACCACAAAGACCAGCAGAGATAGACCTAAGGAAGTCAGGTCCATCCGGCACTCTGCCAAGTAGAAGGCTGAGACGAATTTGAGGAGAAAGCCATAAAGGAAATTTTCCTGATGCAAAACACTGTTGGCTGGTCAACGCAAGAGCCGACTGTTGTGCCATACGTGTTGCGCCTGAAAGCACAAGCGGGCCAAATCGGGAAGACCCTGAAAGAAGCAGGCATGGAACAGCAGCGAGAACCTCGAAAACTGGTAACTCCATGCAGAGCATCAGGCAGGCACAATGTCTCAAAGCGTCCGTGATTCTGAGAGCAAGACATTCCATCGACAAGAGTCGGGAAGTAGGCCGTGCCCAGAGGCGTGCCTTCTGAGAGCTGTGTCAAGGCAATGGAGAAGATGTAGATGACAGACCTAGGCTCTGCTAGGCTCTGCCGGTTTGCACCACAGCACCACACACCCATCACCTGCAAAGAAGAACTTGGCCCGGCACAGGAGAATGAGGCAAGTGAAGAACCTGAAAGAGTTTGCTGCCACCACTAACTGAGCAATGTCGCTGACACGTAAATCGAACAGTCCGGCTTTCGTTCGTCGCAGGTTATCCTTCGAAGTGACAGTTCGTTGATCTCGTCAATAATTCGAGATCAAGAGCCTGCGATGCAATTAGTACAAGCGAAGAATCGAGCTTTTCAACGAAGCGTTCTCAAAGACTTGCTTCATCCAGCACGCCCTTCAGTGACACGGTCGCCCGAAACGTACGTCCACTATCACCCCGTCCAACGCCATGCGACTTTTCCGCTCCCTTCAACTCTGCTCCACCACTGCAGCAGCTCCCGTCTTCTCGAGAGAGAATGCACGGGGTTTCGCTGCGACCGGTACCGGTGTCCGTTCCCGCCATCGCTTTGGGGAACTGAAGGAACCAGGAGACGCTGAGGCACCTACCTGCCTTCCGTTTCTTACTGTCCAGAGCTGCTTAGTTCTTCCAATCCCGGAAGAGTGAGCTTTGCAAATCAAACAGAGAAAAGCGATTCGCGCCTGCGATGACATTACCGCAAGGGCGCTGTGCTAGTTTGTTATCATTTGACACAAGTTTCATGTGCAAAGTCTCTGACACGGAGCGGGAGGCGACTCCGATGCCCTTCAACAGGATCATGACCTGGCATCTGGACGGCAATCTTCTCCATTTACTTACACAGGTTCGCGGCGTCAGCGAGCCTCCGGCACCTGGCAGTAGGGAGTTGGGTGGAAGAGAAACGAACATCCAATCACAGCTGGTTGAAGCAGCTCGCACCTGTCGGAGAAGCCGCGCGATCCGTGCCACGCGGGTAAGCCGTGAAAGCTTCAGAAGGCGAAGAACAGATGAGTCAAACGCCTGCACAGGGTTCAGGATTTCTGGAGTGTACCGCATATTCTCTGCATGCTTCTTCCGTTGCATCAAGCTCAGAAGACATCAGGCTTACCCCCGCCAACCTTGCCACCTGTTGCTACAAGTAAAAAAACTTATTTTCACGCCTTGCAGACTTGAACGCCTCCCAAACCCGGACTCCTGCAAGCCGAGAGAGATTCATCGGCTTTCACCCGTGTGTGTGCCGCGATGACACCTACACGCATCGTCTCCACATCTTAATCGACGCTTCGCCGACAAGCCGTCGTCGCGGCATAGCAGCAGCAGCAGCTGTAGCTGAGGGTTTGATTCTAGCTATAGTTGTAGTGCGGGCGGTGGTGGCTGGTGCCGGTGCCGGTGCCAGTGCCGGTGCCTGTGCGGGCGCTGGCGCTGGCGCTGGTGCCGGTGCTCTTGCTGTTGCTGATGCTGAGGCTGTTGCTCTTGCTGTTCTGCTGCTGCTGCTGCTGATGCTGCTTGTGCGGCTGTTGCTGCTGCTTGTGCAGCAGCAGGTGCAGCTGCAGGTAGAGGTGCTGTCGCTGTCGCTGTCGCTCCCGCGCGCGTTGCGGTTGCGGTGGATGTGGTGGTTGTGGTGTCCGTGGTGGTGCTGGTGGTGCTTGTGTGCTTGTGGTGCTTGTGGTGGTTGTGGTGCTTGCGGTGCTTGTGGCGGTTGTGGTGCTTCTGGCGGTTGTTGGTGATGTTCTCGGCGGCGGCGGCGGTGGGGGTGGTGGTGGTGGTACGAGGACAAGGACTACTGCGATTACGAGTCGTGCTTCAAGTGATCGTCGTGGTTGTCTTCTTGGGGATGGCCTCCCTGCTTTCACCGAACGAAACCGCTTGTTAGTTGGTCTTTGCTGAGGAGCACTCCGGGTCCAGCCTGCTCCTGTGTTTGGGAGGTGTCTGTCGACACAGTCATAATCAAGAACATGAGCCAGGTCTCGATCACCTGCTCGTTATGTGAACAACGTTTCAGCTGCGGAGGACACCGACTAGGAGCCCGGCCATCAAAATCACTAGAGTCAGGTCGAACCTCGGCGGGGGCTTACCAACTTAGAAAACTCAAAGTATCGGTGGAATACTACAGTGATGTGCGGCCTTTGGGCCGCAAACCTTGCTATGACGATCAGCCGCCCAGCCCCCTAAACCCTAAACCCTTACCAAACCCTAGCCAAACCCTGAATCTTGAAGGCTAAACCGGCTCAACCCTAAACCCGATCGATCGGCTGTTTGGCTGATGCGCACTTAGCGAACCGACTTTGCGAGCACAATGGGACACTACTAGGATAGCCGAAAAGCACGAACCATTTGTCCCTGAAGGCATTGCACATCCTGGAGAATGCATGAAGTCGCAGAACGATCTCCGCAAAGAAGAACACGCAAAAGAGGTTCTCGACGATAATGAAAGGAGGATCGGCATACGCCAGCACCTCCGCTGGGTTGAAGCTCATCTCGATGCCAATCCAAATGGCATTCAGGAAGATGACTGCCATGCAGGTGTTTTCAAACCACGGGCTGCGAACAATTTTCTGCGTGATGCCGGTAGTCTTGTACTTGTCCTTCACATTTATGGGTTTGTCGAAGAGCTCCTGCACCCTGTCTTTCATCATGAGGCTCCGGCGCTTGTTGTCCTTCTTCTTCTTTTTCTTGCCTGAGCGGATGTATCCGATGGCGATGTCCTCGTCTTCCTGGTCGTTGGTAGTGGCCTTGTCCTCGATCTCTGGACGCATATCATCTGTCCCCGGCAACTCCATGGTGCTGTAGTCTACTGAGGCTGCTAAGCCCTGCAATGCTGGGTCCGGGCGCGGATGATGCGAAGCGGCCCAGGCATCCAGCTTCGACTGCGCCCGTTCCAGACGGTCCAGCGGATTGCTCTGCGTGGTGCTCAACTTCTCCAGAAAAGATGTGACGGTGCCTTTCACAGGCAGGCCATCTGCTGTCTTTTCGTGCATGGGGGGTGCAAAATCGGCATTTGGGACTGCCCAGCTCATGTCAGTCCACATGGGACTTTGCACATTCTGTGAGAGGATGCCCCCATAGCCGGCTCCAACTGCCTGCATGGCCGCAAGCTGCTCTCGCAGCTCGAAGTTCTCCGCCTGCACGAAGCGATGCTGCTTCTCGCACTCCAATAACTGCTCGCGGGTCTTCTCCAGCTGAACGTTCAGAACGAAGGTACTTTTGCTGTCACCACTGCCCAAAAGATCCTTGCTCCCCTTGCTCCCGACAGGTGAGTCCAAGCCGCCCAAGCCAGCACTCCCAGCAACTTTCGTCAAGGCCTCGTTCTGAGACTTCAAGTCCTTAGTTTCCATTTCAGAACGTCGCCAGTCCTCCTCCTTCCGAAGTAGGAATCGCATGGCCGTCTCATGGTAGCCATGGATGAGCCGGTGCATCTCCATACGCTGGTGTCCAAGCATCGTCTCCATGGCCTGGATGCTGAAGAAGGGATCGGCCTCGACAGCGATGGGCCGAAGGGCTTTCAGCGCCTTCTCCCCCTGCTTGTCCTCGACTCACTTCGGACTCCGACCCTCCCCCGACCCTCCTTCGAACACAACCCCAGCTGCCTCCTTCTCCAGGAAGTTGCTGTCGCCATGACGTGCCTCAAGCGAGGAGAAGGAAAAGCATCTCTGAAGCCCGATGCTGCCTGCAGTAGGGCTTACTTAGTAGAGGTATCAGACAATGACAAGTACAAGTTCAAGCATTGCTTCGGCCACGGCCTTCACCACCTCTCTGCGCTTCATTCTGCGGGGGCCACGCAATGACTGAGCCGACTCTGCCAAAGGGTCAAGACACAGACTGCGCTCACTGTGCTGACACGAACTAGTTCTTGCTCCTACTCATGGCCCTTCATGGCCCTCGACCGAAAGATAGTGCTGACGACTGTGTCCCTTCAACCCAGTCTGCTTGACTGTTGCATCATCCAGCTGGGCCAGATCCACCGCGGGATCCTCGAAGATCGAAGGGTCGGTGAGATCGACTTCGTCGTCGACATCGACGTGTCTGTCCTGCCCACGATCGCACTTGCAACCTGTCTTGGCATCTCCTCGACACGAGTTTCCCTTTATGATCCACATTGACATGCGCCCGGGGTCCCGGATGGCAACTGCCAACCGGCACCTCGTCAGCAAAGTCAGCTTTGGGCTTTGGGTAGAGTTCAGAGCCTTGTGCCATCTTGTGCCACCTGTACAGACGAGGCCGCGGCGTGCAGCAGAAAATTATGCCATGGAACGTGAGCGCACCTGTCACAGGACGTAAACACAGCCCGTGTCCGTAAGCGAAAGACCTGCCTCGTGACCCCCAGCCCTGCCGGCGGCGCGCTTTCATGGACGGCCTGGCACAGGCACGACTGAAAGAGAGAGGAGTTGATCGTGTGAGCCGCCTGTCAGGCCATGGCTCACCGTATTGCAAACAACGAAGAAACCTCGAGCCCAGGAGCAGAATTGGGCCGAAAGGCCGTACGGATCACAACACAATCCTGAGACTGAGCACACGTTTGTCTCTACGGTTCTGTCCGGCTCTGCACTGCCTTCGCTCGATCTCCAAGGTGCTGCAGTCTCAAGCCAGGTTAAGACGAATTCTCCTCGTGCTTGGGCACACTGGCCCCAATTGAACATCCCAGTACAGGTGAAACATCTGTCAGCGAAATAACACTGAAGGGACAGCCAGACTATGTACCAGTGCTAACAGAAACGTCGCCACTGCCGATCCTGCGATCTGGAGTCAGGACGCTTCTACATCCGAATTCTAGTAAGGGTTCGAGTAATCAGAAGTCACATTTCCTGAGATCCTGAGCATCCTGTTTTGATTTGTATGCTGCAGCCTCCTATCACCCAAATTATGCGATCCACGGTCTGAGGATACGTTTATGCTCACAGGCCAAAACTTGCGAGCGACTATATGACTATGCAGACTGTGGAAGCTATGTTTAGGCACGACTCAAGAAGAATCTACGTGAAGACTTCGGACTTGCTTCCGTCCTTTCCTGCTGTACGAGAATGTTCCACTCTGAAAGTGCAGCTCACACGGATGCGTGGCAGGACACTCAGCGCCACAATTGCCTCTCGCGGTTTCGGGGACGAGAAACAGATCAACCCTCCACGAAGATCGCCATCATGAAACGCAGGAGGGTCGCGTCCAGAAGTGTTGCAAGCCAGCGGCCCGAACTGCTGCAACAGAAGCAAACGGTCTTGCGCATGGCCGTGCGCGACATTTCGCACCGAAGACGGAAGACAGAGACAGGCTCGAGAACTCCACGAAGGTGACTCTTCGGATGTGGTCCATGTCCAGCCTCAAGGCTCAATGGCCAGCAAGGCACTCTCGACTGAACACCTATCGGAGCAAGTCTGTCCGAGATCCACACCCGAACTAGATCAAGCTTCAGCTCGGCACTCTAGGAGTCATCCGAAAAGTTGGCATCGACTTCCTGGCGGCAATACCGCACCAACCGTCCGGATACTGTGAGCAGCGCTTGTATGGCGTCCACGTTGTGCCTCGTCCTCCTCGGCCAGGTCTCTCATTCCCTCGTAGATGTGTGCCCTGCGGGTTGGCGTGCCGATGCGGAAAAGGCACTCCGCAAGATGCCGCAAGCACTGCTGCAAGCACCACTGCAAGCGCTGATGCAAGCGCCTGGAGCAGGCGCCACCCCAGACGACGTCGGGGTCCTTTCCCGCGCTCTCCACCTTCCAAGATGTGGGGATCTGTGTCTGTCAGCCGACGAATCAACTCGTAACCTGCCTGTGAGCGCAACGCTAGGAATTTTGTCACCGGAGGCCTTCTCTGACGGCAACAAATTTGCTTTCGATAAGATCGTGCAGGTTTCTGTGAGCACCGTGCATCCCTTCGTGAATCTCGGTGGGGAAGTCCTGGAAAGCATTTACGCAACGACTTGCGGGCCAATTTTCAAAAGGCCTGTTGGTCTGTGGCGTCCTGCCAGATGAAGTTCTGCGAGCAGGCATCGTCCCCGCAAAGCTTCACGAACACCATGACCTTGCATGCCAGAGCAACTTTCAACCATGCACGCGCTCTCAACCTTCGCAATCTCTATTCGCTTACTATGCCACAACCCATGGACCAACGATGTTGGTGTTGGCGATTGCCGCTCTCCATAGTTTCGCGGCACAGCTGTCACAAAAAGCCCTTTATTCCGTGAGTTGTGCTTTGAGGTGCGCTGTTTCCGATACGACTTAGGTGCTTCAAACGTGTCAACAAAACCTCGAGAAGTCGTCTGGAAGTCAGTCGAGTCGACTTTATGACAGACTTCTTCCCTCGAAAGCCATGATGTCATCTTGCAACTCACGGTATTGGAAGGCCACGATTGACATCTCATATCTGGCACAAAAGAACGAGATGCCGCGAATTTGTTTCGAGGTTGCTGAATAGATAGAATTGAGCCAAAACCCAACCAAGGCGGCAGCAGGAAGGAAACTGAAGCTCCGAGAATCGAGAGGAGAGGAGGACACCAGCGCGTTCTCGCATCTACTGTCAGAAGCTCAAGCTCAAGCTCGCCTTCTGCCCATCCGCCGCGGACTTCTTTCCGCCCCCAGGACATGCCAAAAGGAGAAACCACCAGGTCGGCCGTCTCTCCAGCCCTTCCCATCCCACGACCAACGTCTGGACGAGGCGAAGCGTTTCAAATCATATCGGATGGGCAGCCACAGATTAGAGACCGATGGGACAACACTCAAACCGACAATGATAGTCGAATCAGACGGCTCCAGAAACGTCGAATCCATGCAAACCTGTACTTAGAGCGCTCCGTGCACCAATCCATCACGTTGGAGTCAGGGATATGCATACACAGAAAAGACCAATGTCGAGTAGCAGCATGTTGCCGGATTACATGAATGAAAAAGGGTTGCTGCGTGGCCCCTTCGGGTTTGGGGATTCGAACCGATCGCTCATTCACCCTGTGCAACGGATTGTCCGACTCGCCAACAGAGATCAGCGGGCCGTAGTTCACGGACGCTGAATGCATTGGAGTGCACTAATAGATAGAAGCCCAGTGCCAAAGCCTTTGCCAACCATACAACCAAGCATCCCTACCGATCTGTTCAATCAAGTAATCAGCTTTCCGCGAAGTTCTTGCAGCGAGCATCATGAGAAACAGACTGCCCCCGACACAGAATACGGTTTCAACCTCCCAGAACGGAAAACAAAAGGACCGCGGCGGCGGACTGGAGGCACACACACCTGAAGAGGGCGGAGCCTTGAACATGTCAAGTGCCCTGAGTCTGGCGAGTAAGTTCGGCAGATCCTGAAGCTCAACATGTTCAACGCAGAACAAAGAGCTTTCAATTGTTTCAGGGGTGCAGAACTCGCCCGAAGGCCATCGAGCAAAGCTTTATACTTCCGAAGATACACTCCGAAACGAAAACGATGCGCTTTGCTCATGTCCTCAATCTCACACATGCTCCGGAGAGCATCTGCGGGCTTCGTTTTTCGAGAAAACTTGTGAGACTTGCCAATCTGAGTACTACTTTGGACCGACACTGCTGGGACAGCACCTCCAGTCCAGCAACACCACGCTGCGAGGAGCACACGTTGGGTGGTGCAGTTGACGCTTCCGGCGTACGGGGAGCCCTGCTGTCGTTCGTGGATCGTGGAGAAATCGATGCTGCGAAGCGTTGCACCCTTAAAGCCAGAGTGTCTGCCCAATTGGCTGGATCAGTGGTAGTAGTAGGATACAGGAAAATTCCCTGAATCTCTTGCTAAACACACGATTCCTCAGGGTCATTCTCCAATTCTCCATCTCCCAATACTTCCGCTGCTCAGGTGAGCACAGGTGCACACACCTTCCGGCCGATAATCCTTAACTGGACGGGCCACGGACAGTTTTCTGGGCCAAGCAAGGGCCGGTAATCCTTAACTCGACGGGCCACGGACAGTTTTCCGGGCCAAGCAAGGGCCGGTAATCCTTAGCTGGACGGGCCACGGACGGTTTCTTGGGCCAAGGGCCGGTAATCCTGAACTCCACGCGCCACGGACAGTTTTCTGGGCCAAGGGCCGGTAATCTGGGCCAAGGGCCGGTAATCCTTAACTGGACGGGCCACGGACGGTTTTCTGGGCCAAGGGCCGGTAATCCGGAACTCGACGGGCCACGGACAGTTTTCTGGGCCAGGGGCCGGTAATCCTTAACTGGACGGGCCACGGACAGTTCTCTGGGCCAAGGGCCGGTAATCCTTAACTGGACGGGCCACGGACGGTTTTCTGGGCCAAGGGCCGGTAACCTGAACTCGACGGGCCACGGACGGTTTTCTGGGCCAAGGGCCGGTAATCCTTAACTGGACGGGCCACAGACAGTTTTCTGGGCCAAGCAAGGGCCGGTAATCCTTAACTGGACTGGCCACGGACGGTTTCTGGGTCAAGGGCCGGTAATCCGGAACTCGACGGGCCACGGACAGTTTTCTGGGCCAGGGGCCGGTAATCCTTAACTCGATTGGCCAATACATCCTGTTTGCTGCAGCCATGGGCCATGGAGATCTGAGCCCAATCACAGGTCATAACACGCCTACCCCAGGGTAAACACCTGGTGTCCACGCAGGCTCCGGCCGTTCAACAATGAGAGAGTGCATCACGCATATGGCACGCAAGCGACATGGGATCAATCCCAACAACGGATTTCTACATAGCACTTTCGGGATCAATCCCAATATCGTCGTCGCAAGACCTCGCGAGCAATCACCAGCATCAATGCCATCATGCTCGAGTGCCCATGTACAACCTGGACTCAGACATCATCGGAGAGTCAAGGCACGACAAAACTAGTTGCGAACTTAAGAACCAATCGTGACAGCTGCAGCGTTGCTGCAGACTGCCGTCTGTCTGGCTGGGCAAAGCCATGCGAGGTTTCTCCTCGCGTGCCTCGGAAAAAAAAAACCTTCTCATCACCACTCATCGCCCCACACCCACACACACCCACACTGACAGAAACAAACAAGCATGGACGCACGCACACTCCTAGACAAACACCGTCCCCACCGCATACGATGCCAACGGTGCGTTCCAATTCATCGAATGCAATATCGCTCCCAGGGAGGCTCGAACTCCCACCTTGAGGTTGACAGACAGCCTCACGCTCTAACAAACTGAGCCATGGAAGCTCTCAAACATGTGCAGTCCTGCCCACCTGGTGGCCATCAAAAACAACGCACATACGCACATCACTGCATGTACCGGCACGCTGCTATTTTCCGCAGGTACGTCGGTGCGCGTGCAGATCGACCGTTTGATTTGGCCAACAATCAGAGTGAGTGGCCATCCCCGCTGCATCGCAAGTCGCAGAACCGGTATGCTCATGGTCCAACGAAACAAACTCTAGAATGTAG